TTTTTTTTTTTTTTTTTTTTTTTTTTTTGTAGAGACAGGGTCTCACTTTATTGCCCAGGCTGTGCTCAAGCAATCCTCCTGTCTTGGTCTCCCTAAATGCTGGGATTATGGGATTACAGGTGTGAGCCACCACACCCAGCCACTTTAATGTCTTTATGGAACAAAAATCGTAAAAGATCTGCAGAAAGTCACAGGATGATACAGTTGGAAAAAACTCCTGACATTCTGTACAGTGAACCACTTGATCTCTACTTAATCATCAGATCTCATAGTAATTATTCATTTGGATAAGGCTTTACTTTTTCTATTCTAATCCTAATATTTAATTTTGGTTCTCAGAATAGACCAAGTGGAAATTAGATAGAAATATTGACATGTAGCAGTTACCTTACAATATTGAGCCGTTTGCATTTTACTAGATGCCCAACAGTAGTGTTCCTTACAATAACACACACACACCCCCACACCCACACACACCCTATTAATGTATGAAAACCGAATTTGTAATCCAGAACTATTTACATTTTTAAAGAGCTACCTCCTGGTAAAGACACTTCAGGTCCTTATCCAAAGACCTTGGTCTAAAACATACTTTTGGTGTCTCTCATCATGCGATCTTCCTGCTCTACCTAAGCAGTGTACCAAATGATCTGCACCAAGAGCAATTTCATCCAATCTTTAATCAAGGTTCTTTTATCTCCTATATATCCCCCTTTCTTCTGGACTCAGGGTTGGTCACCTAAGATCAGGCTCCTAGGATCTGGTTGCTAGGAGACAAGACGCTGGGAGGGTGGGGACGCTACACTGCGACAAGCCTGGGAGTGAACGCCAGAGGAGGAAGGAGCAGGAGCAAGCTAGGCGAGGCGACAGTCAGCTGCCGCAGCCCGTCCGGCTTCCTCCCGCCCGGCAGGGCTCGGCGCTCATTGGCTCTGCCGCTGCGGCGCTGGCCCGCGATTGGCCGGGCGGCGTCGGCTCGGCGCCCCGCGGCCCCTCGGCTCTAGTCTCCGCAGCCGCCTGCAAGGGGCGGGGGCGGAGTGTGAGGCTCGGCGGACGGGGTTGCGGGCTCGGTAGCGGCGCTTCAGGGCGCGAGCGCGGGAGGTGCTGCCACTGCAGGTAACAGAGGCGCTGCGAGGGCAGCCGCGGCCCTGTGGAGGTGAGTGAGACGCCTAGGGAGCTCGGGTGGCCACCGCGGGGAGGGAAGTGCGGCATGGGGCGGTACCGCTCACAGCCAGCCGGCTCCCGCCGCGGCTTCCCACCCCCGGCGGCCCGGGCGGGGGTCCCACTCGCCCAAACGCCCCCAAACGCCCCCGTGGACAGCCCTCAGCCGGCCGCTCCCCGAGCAGCCCGCCGGCCCTCGTCCAGTCACCCGCCCGGTCCATGTCCCTGCAGACCGTCCCGCCCTCGCACAGCGGCGGGAACCCCAGCTTCTGCGCGCCCGGCCGCGCCCCGGGCCTCTGCCTCGCCTCGCCCCGCGGCCTGGAGTCTTTGTCCGCTCTGCGCCCCTGGAGTTTCTGTGCCTCCACGGGCATGAGCGGGGCGCGAAGCCCCGCTCATGTCTGGGGGTGCCCCGAGGACGCGCCGCGCAGTGAGCCTCTGGGCCCAAGGTTTGAAGGGGTTTGACCTCATCCCGGGTCTGGGATGTGATTTTATTTTCTCTTCCAGCTGCCTCCGATCTCTTTTGTGTGCAGAAGTCAGGAAGCCTGGGTACAAGGCTTCTTCCCGGTCCGGGATGACTCGGTGTTACTGCCGCCTTCTGTTAGGCCAGAGGCCTTTGACCTGCCTGCCTGCCTGCCTGCCCCACGGGGTCCCCTCTCTTCCCATCTTTCCACTGCCTAAGGAAAAACGTCTCTGTCTCCAAGAGCTTTTTTTTTCTATTTGAAATAAGAAAAAAAATATATCAGATTCCTGTTGTACACCTCTATCTGGTGGGGAAGTGACTTAGACTAGTCTTATTAATACATATATATTAAATATATAAACCAAGAGAAGGGGGGTGGGGGATGGGAGGGGAAGTGTGTTCTTAAAAAGTGAAGTCTGTTAAACAAATTGGATTTTTGTTTTTGGTAAATAACATATTTTACCTTAAATATTTTCAAGATTTTGGTATTTTATGAATGGGAGTGGATTTCATAGTAATTTGAACTTTGAACTTTTTCTTGTCACTGTTTTTGATAAATTTATAATTTCCAGAATGAGGTGCACTATGACAGCTATTTAGAGATAATTTATGTTTTATTAAGGATTATCCATCAGTGCTATGCCTTTTATACTTAAATTCAGACTCTGATTTCTTGGACAATCATTTAACTAGAATTAATGCTGAGGAGTCTTCCCTTGCCCAGTACAATTGTATAACAACTGTACAGTTGGTCAACAGAAAAACTTTTTTTCACGTTTGGATGATTTAAAGTACTGTTAAACATGTATAGCATAAATGAGTATCACATTTGAAATATAAGCTTTTAAGTGTTTGACGTGGGTAATATTTTAAAAATGAGTCTTTTTGGAAGTGAAGAGAAGTAAGCTCTCAGGGAGGATCCTTGCCCTGAATTCTATTTTAGATTGTTTTCTACCAAGGCCCCAAAAATCATAATAAAACACCCTGGCCGGGTGCGGTGGCTCACGCCTGTAATCCCAGCACTTTGGGAGGCCGAGACGGGCGGATCACGAGGTCAGGAGATCGAGAACATCCTGGCCAACATGGTGGAACCCTGTCTCTACTAAAAATACAAAAATTAGCTGGGCATGGTGGTGCGTGCCTGTAATCCCAGCTACTCGGGAGGCTGAGGCAGGAGAATCGCTTGAACCTGGGAGGCAGAGGTTGCAGTGAACGGAGATTGTGCCACCGCACTTTGTCCTGGAGAGCGAGCGAAACTCCATCTTAAAACAACAACAACAGCGCACCATATGCTCTAACATGCCTCCCAAATTGTGTGGTATGAAAAGCGATCCAAGTACTAGGCAAACAAGTAGAGATCAGTTCACTAGAGAGAAACCAAGTCTTTAAAGGATTCAAAACTAAATTGATTAATCCAGCAGGACAAGATCCCCATCCATCTTTGCACATCCCCATCTATACTTAAATGTTTAAATGAGTTGTGGACCTGCAGTTTGGAGTGAGTTCCAAAGGATACATTAAATGTCTCAAGGTTTTGTGACCTTTTCATTAATTCAGCAAACATTTTGGCAGTATCTCCCTTGCTGGTCACACTTCTGGGGAATCAAAGATAGAAGGCCCAGCCCATCAAAGAAATCATAATCCAGCGAGTTAAAGAGAGAAATAAACAGAAATTTCTCAGGGCCCTTCCAAGGTTCTTCCAAGACCTTTTCCAAGCCTTCTTTCCCCATGTTTTCATCAAACTCAGCCTGGAATATGAAAAAGGGCATTACTTTTCAGATTTACTCACTTTTTTCATCTGACTGTGAGATGACCAGGTCTTTAAAAAACAAGGAAGTTCTGTAAAATCTGTTTTCAGCTGGGCACAAGGCAGTGCTTTACAGTTATTAAACTGATTCTTGGAAATTTTTGTGCCAATAATGGGCAAAGTAGAGAGGAGAAAAATAATAGTAATAAATTATTTATTGAGCACCTTTTGTATGCCAGAGAGTGTGCTGGTGCTTTATATATAGTATTATTTAATTCTCACCATAACTCCAAAGGTTAGGTATTTTCCTTACAGTATAGCTGAGACAGTATATTGGAGCCATAGGTTGCACTGCTAGAAGTGGTAAAGCTGGGTAAGAATCTGTAGCTGACTCTTTCTACTCATTTTGTTGGTGGCATACTTCAAAATTGGAATGTTGGAATGTTGCTGTCTCTCCTTTTATCTGTCACATTAATCTTTATGAATCTGTTTAAATCTGAGGATCTCTGGAGTGGTAGTGCTGCTACACACATTATGTAGTCCTCACTCTTTGCCAGGTAGCACTTTCCATATATCCTCAGAAGTACGTAAGCTAGCTACTGTTATTATTTTTGTTTTACAGATGAGGAAATTGAGGCACAGAGATTAGCTAATCTGAACCAGATAATGCCATAAGTAGTAGAGCTGGGATGCAAACTTGGACAGTCTGACTCGAGTCTGCACACTTAACTACTCCACTGTTCTGGCCTTCAACAAGGTACATCTTTGGTTGGTAGGAAGCTGTGATTTTAGTGTGCTAAATGTTTTTCTGTTTTTGTTTCTTTTAAATGTTCATTCAAACACATGTAGGATAACTTTATGTTGTCTACCACCTGATGTTCTCTACCACTGTCTTATGTAAACAATGACGTAGTACTAATTATAATTAACATTTGAGAGCGTACCACATTCATGACACCTGTGCTGTGTTTTAAATATTTCACATAAATCCCATCACTTTGGGAGGCTGAAGTGGGCAGATCACAAGGTCAGGAGATGGAGACCATCCTGGCTAACACGGTGAAACCCCATCTCTACTAAAAATACAAAAAAAATTATCCAGGTGTGGTGGCGGTGGCAGGCACCTGTGGTCCCCGCTGAGGCAGGAGAATGGCGTGAACCCGGGAGGCGGAGCTTGCGGTGAGCCGAGATCGCGCCCCTGTACTCCAGCCTGGGTGACAGAGCGAGACTCCGTCTCAAAAAAAAAAAAAATTTCACATAAGCCTCAGCACAATCTAAATACTATTATTTATGCAACATCTCATTTGTGAGATACTTTTATCGTCTTCAAAGTGCTTTCACAAAATAATCCCTTTTAATTCTTTCCACGCTGTCAGTCAAAAGTATTACCATCACCTGCTTTTATTGCTGCATTTCAGCAAAGTTGGATGACTTGCCTTGGCTAGCAGGTGGTGGAGCCAAAACTCAAACCAGAGCTTCAGACACCTGTGTACGCTGCTTTTTTTTATTGTACTGATCTGTCAGTGAATCTCTGCTTTGTACTTCTTGTCCTAAGATAGATCATTTTTTTCCATAGGAACAGTTTATATTTGGAGACTGTATTCCTAACCCAGAATCCAGTGTCAGCTGAATCATAGATATAATTAGTTAAAACTTTTGTCATTATTTTCATCTGTAAATTAATGTTCCAACTTTAGACACAGTGCCTGGCACGTAGTGATGGCTCAGTAAATGCTTGAATGAAGAAGTATGTCGTCCACATTGATGTAAGAAAGTTCCTCAAATGTTTTATGTTTGCATGCATAGTTTCTTTTTCTATTTGATATCATAACCCTCTCCCCACACCTCACAAACAGAAAGTTTCAGAATTACTTAACTGAATCATAACTAACTTCAAAATATATTAGACTCTGTCCCTACTGACCCTAAACCATTATTTCCAATCTGCTCTCTTAGCCGGTACTATACCTCTTGTGTGGAACGGAAAGAGCGTGGAATTGAGAATCATTTTTACCTGGGTTTGAATCCTTGCTCTGCCTCTTCTTAGCTCTGTGATCTTGTAAAACTTACTTAACATCTCTGAACCTCATCTTGTAAAATTGGGGACTCTGTCTCTAAAGAAAAAAAGATAAAAAATATTATATGCTTTTTATCATATATTTATTCATCTCCATATTTTTATACATCCATTTATCAATGCATAATATTCAAATCCTTTTATGTGAAGAGATTTAGGCTATACTAGGTTTATTTTAGGTCAGTTTTATTTTTCCTTTACATGGTAGCAGATACTTCTTTTTTTTTTTTTTTTTTTTTTTTTGAGACGGAGTCTTGCTCTGTAACCCGGGCTGGACTGCAGTGGCCGGATCTCAGCTCACTGCAAGCTCCGCCTCCCGGGTTTACGCCATTCTCCTGCCTCAGCCTCCTGAGTAGCTGGGACTACAGGCGCCCGCCACCTCGCCCGGCTAGTTTTTTGTATTTTTAGTAGAGACGGGGTTTCACCGTGTTAGCCAGGATGGTCTCGATCTCCTAACCTCGTGATCCGCCCGTCTCGGCCTCCCAAAGTGCTGGGATTACAGGCTTGAGCCACCGCGCCCGGCCTGCAGATACTTCTTAGGAATGAATTATAACTGATCTGTAATGTTCTGAAAACATTTGGATTTCAGAGTTTAATAAAGCTTTTTGTTTTCCCTATCCCTAGTTCCAAAAGATGAGTCGTGGATATTCAGAAAACAACAATTTCCTAAACAATAATAACCAAATGGTGTTGGACATGATCCTTTATCCATTAGTTGGAATCCCTCAGACTATCAACTGGGAAACTATAGCAAGGCTCGTGCCTGGATTAACACCGAAAGAGGTAAATAACAGTCCCCCCAGAATATCTCCTGAAAATGTTCAGAAAAGGTCATCAATTTAAAGAAACACCAACTGAGAGAGAGAAAAATATTTGAGTTTTACATATCCAAATGTATGTATTAACACTGAATAGACAGCTATATAATTTGACTAGATGCAAATTACATAAATTATATGTATATATTTGTTGTTGTTTTTGCTTTTTTGAAGCAGGATCTCTCATTCTATCATCCCAGGCTGGAGTACAGTGGTGCCATCACGGTTCACTGCAGCCTCAACCTTCCAAGCTTAAGTGATCTTCCCACCTCAGCATCTCACAGTCTGTCTCAGAGTCTCACTATGTTGCCCAGACTGGTCTTGAACTCCTGGCCTCAAATGATCTTTCTGCCTCTGCTTCCCAAAGTGCTGGGATTACAGGCATGGTCCACCATACCCAACCTGGTCTTCCTTGTTTTACAGGAGCATAAATATATATGCCTTTGAGTTAAAGCACATTAAAATAAAACTCTACCCTGAATTTTAAAATGTAAAAATAGAAGTTAGAGACTTTTGCATAGCGAAATGTGTACAAATATTTTAGATGTTACTCTACAGGTTAATACTCACTTACAAAAAGTAATTATTGAAAAATATCTTCAAATAGAAGGCAAGAAAATATCTTCTCAATTTTTTATTTAAAAAATTCCCAAACCGCTGGGCATGGTAGCTCATGCCTATAATCCCAGCACTTTGGGAAGCAGAGGCAGGTGGATCATGAGATCAGGAGTTCAAGAACAGCCTGACCAACATAGTGAAACCCTGTCTCTACCAAAAATCTAAAAAATTTGCTGGGCATGGTGGCAGGCACCTGCAATCTCAGCTACTCAGGAGGCTAAGGCAGGAGAATCGCTTGAACCCGGGAGGCAGAGGTTGCAGTGAGCCAAGATCACGCCACTACACTCCAGCCTGTGCAACAATGTGAGACTCTGTCTCAAAAAAAAAATTCCCAAACCTCTATTTCTTTCATTTTATATTATGACAGTGTGCAAAAAGGTTTGATGAATTAAAGAGCAGCGGAGGCTCACCTGTTGACAACCAGTATAATTCCTTCATGGCTGCTGGAGAGAGTCCTGTTGAAACTTTAGCCACATATATCAAATCCTCACTTCTTGACATACATGGAGAATTTCAGGAGATTCCAGTTGGTCATGATGCAGTTTCCAAAACAGGTAAGGTTTTAAACTAAAATGTAGTACTTGTCCTTATGATAATTCTGCAGAATATTATATATTCCAATCAACTTTTCTTTCTTTGTTTAAAGGCTAATATAAACATTAATAGATAAATGTATTCATGTTTGTATCTTCCTGAATTTTGTTGTTTTTTCTTTCTGAGACAAGGTCTTGTTCTGTTGCCCAGGCTGGAGTACAGTGGCACCATCTCAACTCACTGCAACCTCCATCTCCCAGGCTCAAGAGATCCTCCTGCCTCAGCCTCCCAAGTAGCTGGGACTAGAGGAGTGCACCACCATGCTTGGCTAATTTTTGTATTTTTTGTAGAGACGGGGTTTTGCTGTGTTGCCTAGGCTGGTCTGGAGCCCCTGAGCTCAGGCCATCCATCCGCCTCAGCCTCCCAAAGTGCTGGGATTACAGATGTGAGCCACTGCACCTGGTCTGAATTTTTTAAATTATGTTTATCTTTGCTACTTTTTTTTCTTCTTCTTTTTCTTTGAGATGGAGTCTTGCTCAGTCGCCCAGGCTGTAGTGCAGTGGCACAATCTCGGCTCACTGCAAGCTCCGCCTCCCGGATTCACGCCATTCTCCTGCCTCAGTCTCCCAAGTAGCTGGGACTACAGGCGCCCGCCACTACGCCTGGCTATTTTTTTTCTTTTTTTTTTTTTTTGTATTTTTAGTAGAGACGGGGTTTCACCTTGTTAGCCAGGATGGTCTTGATCTCCTGACCTCGTGATCCGCCCATCTCGGCCTCCCAAAAGTGCTGGGATTACAGGCGTGAGCCACTGGGCCCAGCCTATCTTTGCTACTTTTTTAAAAAAAGTTTTAGGGCCAGATGCAGTGGCTCACAACTGTAATCTTAGCACTTTAGGAGGCCAAGGTGGAAGGATCACTTGAGGCCAGGAGTTCAAGACCAGCCTGGGCAACATAGCAAGACCCTGTCTTTACAAAAAAATAAAAAATAAAAATTAGCTGGGTGTGATGGTGCACACCTGTGATCCTAGCTACTCAGAAGGCTGAGGTGAGAGGCTTGCTTACGCCCAGGAGGTCAAGGTTACAGTGAGCTATGATCAAGCCACTGCACTTCGGCCTAGGTGTCTGAGCAAGACACTCTCTGTAAAAAAATTTAAACATTTAAAAAAATAAATTTTTAAGTGTTAAACTATTGGTCAAATACAATCACCAAAAAACCCACTTTACTGTGTCAGAATGTTCTACTCTAATCTACTGGCCTGGTTAATTTCATGTATTTTTTTTTTTTTTTACTACAAATATTCTTTTACTTTCTTTTAGAGGGGTTTGCCCCGTGCCCTTTACTTAATATTCCTCTTTCCTGAGAGACTCTTGCTTGTCTCTCATGTTATGTTTTTTTTTGTTTTCTGTTTGTTTGTTTGTTTTTTTACAGCTACTCTTTTTGTTTTTGGAGATGGAGGTTGCACTGTGTTGCTCAGGCTGGTCTTGAACTCCTGAGCTTAAGCAATCCTCCTGCCGCAGCCTCCTGAGCAGCTGGAACTACACGTACATGCTACTGTGCTGAGCCTACAGCCACTCTTTATTATAGTCAACAAGAGCTTCAACTGACATGTAGTGGGGTAAAAGATGTTTTCTGCAATTACATTGGAAATAATAACTGGTTCTGGAAATCCTCTGAGTGTAGCGAGTTATTTTAATCTCAGCAGCGGCAGAGTATTGATGTAAAAATTTGCTTCAGAAAGAGAAAACTATGCTGTTGGCTTTGGAACATTTGATCCCGTTTGTACACACCACATTAGTAGTTTTTGAAATTCTCGTTCTAACAGTAGCAATTTGTGATTCATTTTTGTGTACTGTTTCTTCCATATATCTTTAGAAATACTAAAGGAAAATGCCACCCTGATAAGTACCATCTTTAGCCTTGGTAACCATGCATTTACAGTATTACCATTCAATAAATAAAAACCCATTCTCAGCTAGAAACACTAACCCCCACCCTTTTTTTTGTATGTGTTTGTTTCTGTGTTTCTGTATTTAAGGAAGACATAGTATAGCTTCTACAAGGAATTGTTCTTCAGAAAGTGAAAATTGTACTACTCATAATGGCGGAGAAAAGACTGAAGAATCTGAAGGGTAGGCGGCTGGTTGTTTGCTAAATAAGATTTAATATTGATACCAACTTTATAAAATATATGATTGGTGGTTTTATGCATGTTACCATAAGGTAGGAATTTCATATTACATAATTGCTGAAACTACTGGAATCAGCTTAGTTCATGTGTGGAACTGACCTAAACTTGACTTATTCATGTTATTATTTATAAATTGGATTACAGTTTTCTATTTAAAGATTTTTATTTTTATTTTTATAAATATTAGAAATAATATCTGTTAACACAAAACTTTTAAAAGTAAATTTTAATACCCAAGGAAAAAAACTCTATGCCATTAATTCTCCAACTTTACTAAAGAAATTGGATGTGTGGCCGGGCACGGTGGCTCAAGCCTGTAATCCCAGCTCTGTCGGAGGCCGAGACGGGTGGATCACGAGGTCAGGAGATCGAGACCATCCTGGCTAACACAGTGAAACCCCGTCTCTACTAAAAAAAATACAAAAAACTAGCCGGGCGAGGTGGCGGGCGCCTGTAGTCCCAGCTACCCGGGAGGCTGAGGCAGGAGAATAGTGTAAACGCAGGAGGCGGAGCTTGCAGTCAGCTGAGATCTGGCCACGGCACTCCAGCCTGGGCGACAGAGTGAGACTCCGTCTCAAAAAAAAAAAACAACAAAAAAAACACACGGTATTTTAGAACTATTTGAACGTAACTACTCATTATAGAAAATTAAAATATCTTTCAGTGTATTGCAAGTTTTGATAGTTTTGTTTCGTTCTGCCTGTTTTTATAATAAACAATATTGTTAGGTGTTCAAAATTAATGAATTTTTAAAAATGGATATACCATATAACCATCACCCAAATCAAGACACAGAATGTTTTTATTATTTCTGAAAGTTCCTTTGTATACTTACTTTTCATGGATTTTTATGAAAATCTTACTTTTTATAGATTTTCAAGAACAGCTTGCTTTATCTGTAATTCATATATCATTAAATGAACCCTTTGAAAAAGCTCTGGAGGTTGATGATTATGCTGATTGCACAACAGTGTGAATATACTTAATGCCACTGAACTTAAAAGTGGTTAAAGTGGTAAATTTTCCTTTATGTATATTTAACCACAATTTTAAAAATTCACCCTTTTAAACTGTGTAGTTCAGTTATGTTTAGTTTATTGGCACAGTCTTTGAGGTTTTCTTCTGAGACAAAGTCTCACTCTGTCACCCAAGCTGGAGGGCAGTGGCTCCATCTCAGCTCTCTGCACCTTCTGCCTCCTAGGTTCAGGCAATTCTCATGCCTCAGTCACCTGAGTAACTGGGACTACAGTGTGTGCCACCATGCCCATTTTCGTATTTTTAGTAGAGATGGACTTTCGCCTTGGTGGCCAGCCTGGTCTTGAACTCCTGGCTTCAAGTGATCTGCCTGCCTTGGCTTCCCAAAGTGCTGGGATTACAGGTGTGATCCACCACACCTGGCCATATTCACACAGATTTTTTTTTTTTTTTTTGAGACGGAGTCTTGGTTTATCACCCAGGCTGGAGTGCAGTGGCCGCATCTCAGCTCACTGCAAGCTCCGCCTCCCGGGTTTATGCCATTCTCCTGCCTCAGCCTCCTGAGTAGCTGGGACTACAAGCGCCCGCCACCTCGCCCAGCTAGGTTTTTTTTTGTATTTTTTAGTAGAGACGGAGTTTCACCAGGTTAGCCAGGATGGTCTCAATCTCCTGACCTCGTGATCCGCCCGTCTCGGCCTCCCAAAGTGCTGAGATTACAGGCTTGAGCCACCGCGCCCGGCAACACAGATTTTTAACTGATTGGTTGGTTTGTGTGACACAAAAATTTGCCAAAAATTTTTTTTTACTGAAATAATCTAATATTTTACACTGTAGTCTAAAAAACTGTGGAAACTCTATGTTTCATTACGTCAATTATTACCTGTTTACGTTTTGACCATAATTTCTTTGGAAGAGCAATTTTGTGAAAATTTGTTTAAATTCTTTTGACTTTGATAGAGCATTGATTATAATCCTTTTTCTGGTAGCCCAATTTTATTTAATTCTTTTTTTTTTTTAGAGACGTGATCTCACTGTGTTGCCCAGTCTGGTCCCAAACTCCTGGGCTCAAGCAGTCCTCCCACTTCAGGCTCCCAAGGTGCTGGGATTACAGTTGTGAGCCACCATGCCTGGCCCTCCAGTAATGTACTTTTTTTCTATCAGGAATGTGTGAATTAAACACACAATTCAATTAAATTCATGTTGTAGGACAGTGTGTCTCTATTCTCTTCCTTTTGTAATGACATGAAGACAGATGTAGATTACACTGATGTTTCTTTTTAAGGTGATGAAATTTTTTGTTGTTTTTGAGACAAAGTCTCACTCTGTTGCCTGGGATGGAGTGCAGTGATGTTATCACGACTCACTGGAGCTTGACCTCCCTGGGCTCAGGTGATCCTCCCACTTCAGCCTCATGAGTAGCTGGGACCACGGGCATGCACCACCATGCTGGCTAATTTTTAAAATTTTTCTGTAGAGATAGGGTTTCACCATGTTACCCAGGCTGGCCTGAAACTCCTGGGCCCAATCAGTCCTCCTGCCTTGGCCTCCCAAAGTGCTGGGATTACAGGCGTCAGCCACCATGCCCAGCTGACATAATTTTCAAAGAAAGTAAATAGTAGGAGATTATAATTTTTGAAGCAGACTCTCTGATGTGTCATTTAAACTTGTGCTTAAATTATGTTTAAATATGTAAATAAGCACATTGTAGTCTTAGGAATGCTTTTAACTACATTTATTAATTTATATTTAATATATTTATATTTTATGTATATGAATGCCTAGAAGCAAACTTTTTTGCTGTTAAAAATAATGAAGCCATGCTAGTTTTTCATTTGATTCTTCAGTGAAGAATTATAGCTATTTTTCCTTTTTTAAAAAATGAAAATTTTAGTATTTAATCATACTCTCTCCCCCATGCCCATAACCGTGTAAAAGTGCTGTTTTATGTTCCTCACAGGAATTAGAGTGTGTTGCTTAATTTTTCTTTGTGAAATGGTACTATTTTTATAAACTTTATTTATTTATTTAGAGACGGAGTCTTGCTCTGTTGCCCAGGCTGGAGTGTAGTGGAGCCATCTCGGCTCACTGCAACCTCCGCCTCCCGGGTTCAAGCAATTCTCCTGCCTCAGCCTCCCAGGTAGCTGGGACTGCAGGCACTGCCACCATGCCCAGCTAATTTTTTGTATTTTTAGCAGAGACAGGGTTTCACCATATTAGCCAGGATGGTCTCGATCTCCTGACCTCGTGATCCGCCCACCTCAGCCTCCCAAAGTGCTGGGATTACAGGTGCGAGCCACTGCACATGGCCATAAACTTTATTTTTAATGTATAACTTGAAAAATAAATTTCAAACTGTGTAAATTATTAGTCCTGTAGTAACAATATTTTATTTGTTTTATCAGTAATTTGCTAAAATTAGTCATAATCTAAGATATGATCAGGCTTGCAAGACACTTGAAAAATGTCAAGACCCTATAAAACTGATTGGTGGTCAGAATTGTCAAAAACATCTTATTCTCTTCCCTTCACTAAATGTCAGTATTCTTGGCTCCTTTTCTAAAACTCTAATAATTGCATTTTTGTGTAACATTTTTTATGAAGGCCAAACATGGTGATCCATGTGTGTGATGAAGCAAAAAACTTGAAAGAAGATTTTACTTGCCCGCGAGATCTTTTGATATCAGAAATGAAGTACTTTGCTGAATATTTATCTATGGATGCCCAGCGCTGGGAAGAGGTGGACATTTCAGTTCATTGTGACGTTCACATTTTCAACTGGTTGATAAAATATGTTAAAAGGAACACTGAGGAGAATAAAGATTGTGAGATGCCCACTTTAGGTAAAAAACAATCTGTTGCTTATTTTGTAGTGAAATTTGTGTGTCACCCGGTAGTTTCTTCAGGCCAAAAGTGAAATATGGAAAATTGTTTGGACACCAGTGTTTATGCTCATATTACTAACAGCCTTTTAGGAAACTGATAATCTCATCTTTTTTAGAAAATTATAGTAAATTTATGGCAAATGAACAGATCTCTAGATCAGCAGTTCGCAATGTATGGTATATGGACCAGTGGGATACTAGGGACCCTTTTAGGGTGTCTACAAGGTCAAAACGTTTGCATAATAATACCAAGATGTCACTTGACTTTCTCACTGTGTTACTCAGATGGTACCAAAGCAATAGTGGGTAAAACTGTTGAAGCTTTAGACAAGATCAAGGCAGGGGCACCAAACTGTACTAGTAGTAAGTACATAGTTGCATAGTTAATAAGAAAAAATCTAGTTTCACTTAAGAATGTCCTTGGTGAAGCAGTAAAATTACTAATTTTATTAAATCTTGACCATTGAGTATACATCTCTTTACTGTGATGAAATGGAAAGTCCACTCCTACTGCACACCAACATATGATTCTCCTGAGGAAAAGCACTTATGCGATCGTTTTCAGTCCTGAAGTAGATTAGCTGCTCTTTTAAAAATTGAAAACCATTTTTACTTGAGAGAACAACTGACAGAGAAATAATGGTAATTCAGACTTAGGTATTTGGCAGACATTTTCTTGAAAATGAGCTCTTCACTTAAAGCTGAAAGCATTTGTCACCTGCTGTCAGTGACAAAATTCAGGGTTTCGAGTGAGAATTACAGTTTTGGAAAACTTACCTGCTTCCATGTGCTTGACAGAAGGCTTCTCAATGCTTGACTTTTCTGATGAGATTGGTGATCATATTAATGACTGTGATTTTTAAATGTATTGTGCAATGAAGTATTTGAACATTTGGAATATCTGTATAATTCACTGAGCCAACATTTTCCAAATGACCAATGCATTTTATTTTCAAAAAGTCACGCATGGGTGAAAGATTCATGCAAAGTGCAAGATAAATTAGATAATTTTGTTGTTAACAGAGTCAGAAAAGTTCAATGACACAATTCAGATACCATTGCAATTAACCTTTAAGAAATTACTATTTGTCAAGTTTGGTGTAACATCAAAGAAGGCTACCCATAAATTGAATGCAGAAACAGATATGGGAATCCAGTTGTCTTCTATTAAGTCAGACATTAAAGAGATTTACAAAAAATGTCAAACAGTGCTACTCTTCACTCTATTTTTTGTTCTTGTTGAGAAAGAGTCCGCTCTGTCACCCAGGCTGGAGTGCAACAGCGTGATCTCAGCTCACTGCAACCTCTGCCTCCGGGGTTCAGATGATTCTCCTGCCTCAGCCTCCCGAGTAGCTGGGATTATAGGTGCATGCCACCACGCCTGGCTAATTTTTGTATTTTTAGTAGAGACAGGGTTTTGCCTTATCAGGCTGGTCTCAAACTCCTGACCTCAGTTGATCCGCCCGCCTCAGCTGCCCAAAGTGCTGAGATAACAGGTGTGAGCCACAGCGCCTGGCCTAATATTTTTCATTTTAGAAAAGGTAGTTATTTTAGGCAGGGCATGGTGGCTCACACCTGTAGTCCCAGCACTTTGGGAGGCTGAGGTAGGTGGATCACTTGAGGCCAGGAGTTCGAGACCAGCCTGGCCAACATGGCGAAACCCCATCTCTACTAAAGATACAAAAATTAGCTTGTCACGGTGGTGCCTGCCTGTAATCCCAGCTACTTGGGAGGGTTAGGCATGAGAATTGCTTGAGCCCATGTGGTAGAGGCTGCAGTGAGCCAAAACTGCACCACCGCATTCCAGCCTGGGCGACAGAGTGAGACCCTTCCTAAAAAAAAACAAAACGTAGTTATTTTAATAAAAATATGTTAACATGTAATAGGTTTTTTGTTCTTTGTAAATGAATTCATATTTTTTTATTTTCTCTATTTTAATTTCTAATGTGATAAATACTGGCAGATACAACCCACATAAAGAAAAACCCTTTGGGATTCTCAGTTTTTAAGTTTGTAAAGGGGTTCTCAGATCTAAAAGTTCAAGAACCAGTGTTCTAAATGATAGCATACTACTAGTATTACTAGTAGAATTACTGTAATAAGAATAATTACTGAGTAATATTTCAATGGGCATATATTGTATGATCACACTTGTGGTTTAATAGTCTTTCTGTGCACTAGAATTGCTATTTACAGTAGTATTAAAATAGAACTCTTACTGGAAAATCTATCTATGCTGACAGTGTAAAAGTTTTTGAAAAAAGTTAGTAATTTATTGTATTATTTAGTGACCACATTAATAGGAGAGGTTTCTAGTGGTCCTTAAATAAAAATTACAAGATTGCTAAATCAAAAATTTCAGCCAGAATCCAGAGATTCCAGACTAACCAGCTATAATATGTATGTGTTAAATAAAAGTCAAAACATGTAGAGAGAGTGTAGTAAAGGTAAAAGAAATGCAGCAAGCCTGGCCAGCATAGTGAAACCCTGTCCCTACTAAAAATCCAAAAAATATTAGCCTGGTATGGTGGTGTGTGCCTGTAGTCCAGGCTACTTGGGGAGGCTGAAGCAGGAGAATCTCTTGAACCCAAGAGGCAGAGGTTGCAGTGAGCAGAGATTGTGCCACTGCACTCCAGCCTGGCGACAGGGCAAGACTCTGTCTCAATTTAAAAAACAAACAAACAAAAAAACAAACAAAAACCGGTCTCTGTGGCTCACGCCTGTAATCCTAGCACATTGAGAGGCCGAGGTGGGCGGATCACCTGAGGTCAGGAGGCGAGACTAGGCTGGCTAACATGGTGAAACCCCGTCTGTACTAAAAGTACAGAAATTAGCCGGGCGTGGTTGAGGGTGCCAGTAGTCTCAGCTATTCGGGAGGCTGAGGCAGGAGAATCGCTTGAAACCGGAAGGCGGAGGTTGCAGTGAGCCAAGATCGTGCCACTACACTCCAGTCTGGGCGAAGGAGCGAGACTTTGTCTCAAAAAAGAAAAAAGAAATGCAGCAAAGCTAGTCATTCTGTTATCTTTGCCTTAAATCAGTGGCTATAAATGTAAATATTTACAAAAAAAAAAAAAGTCTTCTAACCAGGAAAACTACCAAAATGCTTAATTACATTTCTAATAATCCAGTCACTGGTTCCTAACTGGGAGCTTTTTCACCAGCTGCTTCCTCCCTTCACCATTTGTGTTTAAGAGACTTGACCGGGCGCGGTGGTTCACGCCTGTCATCCCAGCAGTTTGGGAGGCCAAGGTGGGCGGATCACGAGGTCAAGAGATGGAGACCATCCTGGCCAACATGACGAAACCCTGTCTCTACTAAAAATACAAAAATTAGCTGGGTGTGATGGTGAACAAGTGTAGTCCCAGCTACGCGGGAGGCTGAGGCAGGAGACTCTTAAACCCAGGAACAGAGGTTGCAGTGAGCAGAGATTGCACCACTGCACTCTGGCCTGGCAACAGAGTGAGACTCCCTCTCAAAAAAAAAAAAAAAAAAAAAGCCTTGAATCTAGAATTGTTATTTAAAGAGACAGATTGGGATTACTTATTTTAACTATTGTCTGCTTAGTCGTTTATTTAGAATTGTCTTAGTACTGTAATTATGCAAAACACAGTTTTCTTTCCTTAAACATACCTCATGGGAGAGGACATGTTTGCTAAACTACAGCATCAGGCAGCATCTCCTTTTCTGTATGCCTGAAAGTTCACTCATTATGCCTTTAGGAAGTAAGTTTAGTACTCTGCAGTAGTAAATTTTTTATCTTTCAGAATCTTTTAAAATTAAATATTTGTTCATAACAAGCATTGAACTCTTTTTAAAGTAACTTTTCTAATAACAAATGCTCTCATTAATCATTTAAAAAGTTTTCTAACTATTACTTGTGTATGCAATTAATTATAGTCTCAATTATCTTTTTCCCTGATTTAGTCAAGGAGAAGATTGCATATGTCATATCTTTAACTGGAGTCTTTTTAGTTTATATGAATCCAACACCAGAATAAATTTATTGTGCATTTTCTCCATAACCTAAGTTTTAACATTGAATTTTCTTTATTTTGTGTATCTAACCCATAAGCTATAATAAGGTTATATTAAATTATTCTTGTTACAGTAATGTCCTCTTTTAAGGTGAGAAGGAGCCTGTTCAGAGGAGATTGGGGTACTCATCAAAAGGATAATCTAATTTCTTTCTTTTTTTTTTTAGAGCCAGGAAATGTCATTTCAATTCTTATTTCTTCAGAGTTTTTAAAAATGGATTCACTGGTAAGTATTGACTTAAAAAATCAAAGTGCTTCTGTTCACTTATGCTTTCTTTTCCTTCAAGTATCTCAAAAATTCTGAGACACTTTATTAAAATTATTGTTAATTTAAAAAACAATTAAAAAATTGTTAGTTCAAGAGTATAATTTCTTTTTTTTTGAGACAGAGTCTCTCTCTGTCGCCCAGGCTGGAATGCAGTGGGATGATCTCAGCTCACTGCAACCTCTGCTTCCCTGGCTCAAGTGATCCTCCTACCTCAGCCTCCCTAATAGCTTGGACTACAGGCTCATGCCGCTACACCCGGCTAATTTTTCTATTTTTTATAGAGACGGGGTTTTGCTATGTTGCCCAGGCTGGTCTTGAACTCCTAATCTCAAGCAAGCCACCTGCCTTGGCCTCCCAAAATGCTGTAATTACAGGTGTGAGCCACCACACACAGCCGGAATACTCCTTTTCTATATTAGCAGATGTGAAGTTTATTTATTTGACTCTTCGGGGTTTGTACTAGTCTCTGTATTCTTTTATTTTTTAAATTAAATAGAGATGGGGTGGGGTGGTCTTGCTATGTTACTCAGGCTGGTCTCAAACTCCTGGGCTCAAGTGATCCTCCTGCCTCAGCCACCTGAAGTGCTGGGATATAGGTGTGAGCCACCATGCCTGGCCAATTACCTGTATTCTTTCTACTCCTTAGCTCTTCCGCATTTAGCCCAGCTGGTATCAGTTGCTTCAGGGAAGGGTTACAGAAAAAAAGCAGAGACTAAATGAGTTTTTGAGTTTTGAAATTTTTGAAACCTTTGAATTTTGAAATCTAAGCCCTAAAGAATAATTTTTATGCTGTAAGCATAAATATTTGGAAGAATACATGATTATCCTCTCTTTACTTTTAAAGTAAATAAACATACCTCAGGTTGGAGAGAGAGTGGATGTAAGGAAGAGAGCAAACCCACCATAAGTGAAAATTCTGAATTGACTGAAATTTTGTTTCTGACACCCAGGGAAAAGGAGGCTTAAAGTTCTAGCTAAGTTTAATTATAAGAAGTTACAGACCCGGCACAGTGGCTCACGCCTGTAATCCTAGCACTTGGGAGGCCAAGGCAGGTGGATCACGAGGTCAGGAGTTCAAGACCAACCTAGCCAACATGGTGAAACCCTGTCTCTACTAAAAATACAAAAATTAGCCAGGCGTGGTGGCGGGCACCTGTGAGCCCAGGAATGCTGAGGCAGGAGAATCGCTTGAACCCAGGAGGTGGAGGTTGCAGTGAGCTGAGATTGTGCCATAGCATTCCAGCCTGGGTGACAGAAGACTCCATCTCAGGAAAAAAAAAAAAAAAAGTAGTTACATATTCTGTACACTTGAGTTTTTAGACTAAAATTTATACCTGCCACAATTTTAAAAGATGCATTATTATTATTTGAAATATTCTAAAGAAGGTTGAAAATAATTTTTTAGGTATGTATGTATGTTGTTACAAATTTGACCTGCTGGATTGCCTTTGGAACAGTATAGATTAAGTCAAATAGGCAAAACCCAGTTAGTACCTAGCAATATATGGGTTAGACTTTTGATGAATTTTATCTTTGAAAGGTATTGCTATGACATTGTCCTACATGCTACTATTTTCAACATTTATTTTCTATGATTTTTTAGGTTGAACAGTGTATTCAGTATTGCCACAAAAATATGAATGCCATAGTAGCTACCCCATGCAACATGAACTGTATTAATGCAAATCTTCTCACACGTATAGCTGATCTGTTCACACACAATGAAGTTGATGATTTAAAGGACAAAAAAGATAAATTTAGAAGGTAATTTCAAAAATTTATTTTTAAACCTAATATTCCTGTTAAAAGAAATATATTTCTGTTTCATATGAGTAAAATATTCTTTTTTTTTTTTTTTTTTTTTGAGAAAAGTTTTCATTCTATTGTTCAGGCTGGAGTTCAGTGATGCAATCTTGGCTCACTGTAGCCTCAACCTCCTGAGCTCAAGTGATTCTCACACCTCAGCCTCCGAAGTAGCTGGGACTACAGGCGTGTACCACCATGCCCAGCTAACTTAAAAAAAAATTAACTTTTTGTAGAGGCAGGGTCTCACTTTGTTTCCCAGGCAACAAAGTTGCCCAGTTTTTGAAATTAATTTTTACTCTCTCTTTTCATTTATAGTTAGCTTATTATTATTATTTTGAGATGGTCTCTCTCTGTTGCCCAGGCTGGAGTGCAGTAGCAAGATCTTAGCCACAACTTTCACCTTCAGGCTCAAGTGATCCTTCCACCTCAGTCCAAGTAGGTGGAACCACAGGTACACACCACCATGCAGAGCTAATTTTTGTATTTTTTGTAGAGATGGGGGTTTGCCACGTTGCCTAGCCTGGTCTTGAATTCCTGGGCTCAAATGATCCAACCGCCTTGGCCTCCCAAAGTGCTGGGATTACAGGTGTGAGCCACCATGCCTGGCCAAAATACTCTATTTTTAGAATATATTTAGAAATATATTTCTATTTTATTTTAAATGAAGTAAGTAAAGTGAAGTAAAATTTATCCAGAGCCAATGGCTCAAGATAAAAATTAGTAATTAGTTACTTTGTATAATGGACATATGAATATACAGTGATAGTGAATTATGTTAATTATGAAGATGCTACTGAAGAGGCTGAGGTGGGATAATTACTTGAGGCAGGTGTTCAAAGCTGTAGGGCACTACTGTTATCCCTGTGAATAGCCACTGCATTCCAGCCTGGGCAATATAGTGAGACCCTTTTCTAAAAAACTAAAAATTATTAAAACATACCTTAGATAAAGGGAAAAGTAGTATGAAATGAGGTCAGCAGTGGTTATATCATTTAGGGGCTGTTTAGGTCATAGCCAGGAGGATATACTTTAGGTGTGAATGGAAGCAGGGGAGTGACGTGATCTGATTTGTTTTTAAGAGACCATTTTGGTTGCTATGTGGAGAATAGATGTTAGGGATTTAAGAAGCAAGGAGACCTGTTCAGACCTGTTCAGTAGTCTGTTGAGAAATGAAAGGGTTTGCACTAGGGTAGAAACAGCAGAGCTGGAAAGAAGTAGATGGACTCAGTTGTTAGATTTATGAATGTAATGATGTGGGAAGAGAGAGGATTCCAGGATAATTATTAGGTTTTCAGTTTGAGTAACTAAGTAGATGGTAGTGCTATTAATGGAGAAAGGAAACATTGGGAGGGGAAGGAATGGGGTAAGGGAAATCAAGGATAGATTTAGGTCTTTTTGAGATTATTTAACATACTTCTTGGACATTCAAGTAGGATGACAAGTAGATACCTGGGTATATTAGTCTGGAGTTTAGGTCAAAGGTCAGGACTTAAAATAGAAATTTAAGAGTAGATGAGATTTGAAACCGTGGAACTGGATGAGACCATACTTTTTTTGTCTGTCCTGTTCAGTAAATCTTTGCCTCCCTAAAAGTGGTGAAGACATTGTACTATGTTTTTCTGTTATTCATCTTGAACTAATTTTTTTATATGGTATGAGGTAGGGGTCAAGGTTCATTTTCTTTTTTTCTCAAATAGATATCTAGTTGACACAATACCATATGTTAAAAAGACCATCCTTTCCCCCACTGAATTGCAGTGGTACGTTTACTATATGTTTCTGAATAGTCCTTTTTGTTCTGTTGATTTCTTTGTCTATCCTTGTATCAGTAGCACACTGTCACACTGTCTTTTTTTTTTTTTGAGAGTTTCACTCTTGTCACCCAGGCTGGAGTGCAATCATGAGATCTAAGCTCTCTGCAACTTCCGCCTCCCGGGTTCAAGCAATTCTGCCTCAGCCTCCCAAGTAGCTGGGACTATAGGCACCCACCACCACGCCCAGCTAATTTTTGTATTTTTAGTAGAGATGGGGTTTCACCATGCTGGCCAGGCTGGTCTCAAACTCCTGACCTCAGGTCATCCACCCGCCTTGGCCTCCCAAAGTGCTGAGATTACAGACATGAGCCACCACACCCAGGCAACACACTGTCTTAATTATGATAGCCTTATAATAATTTTTGGCATCTGGTAATTTAAATTCTCAGGTTTTGGCTATCTTCAAGATTGTAGTGTTCTCTATTAAGTTTTTGGCATTTCTATATAAATTTGATAATCAGCTTACCCATTTTCTCTTTCTCACAAACACATAAACATGCTAGAATTTGGGATTCATGTAATCTGTAGATCAATTTAGGAAGATTTAACGTTTTAATAATACTGTGTCTTTCAATCCATGAATATGGTATAACCTTCCATTAATTTGAATTTATTTCACCAATGTCTTGTAGTTTACAGTGTAGAGATATTTTTCCTTTATTTATTTATTTTATTTTAATTTTTTTTTTTTTTTTTTTTTTTGAGACGGAGTCTTGCTCTGTATCCCGGGCTGGACTGCAGTGGCCGGATCTCAGCTCACTGCAAGCTCCGCCTCCCGGGTTTACGCCATTCTCCTGCCTCAGCCTCCCGAGTAGCTGGGACTACAGGCGCCCGCCACCTCGCCCGGCTAGTTTTTTGTATTTTTAGTAGAGACGGGGTTTCACCGTGTTAGCCAGGATGGTCTCGATCTCCTGACCTCATGATCCGCCCGTCTCGGCCTCCCAAAGTGCTGGGATTACAGGCTTGAGCCACCGCGCCCCGCCACTATTTTAATTTTTGAGACAGAGTCTTGCTCAGTCACCCAGGCTGGAGTGTAGTGGTACGTACAGTCATGGCTTACTGCAGCCTCAAACTCCTGGGCTCAAGCATCCTCCCACTTTGATCTTCCAAAGTTTTGGAATTACAGGTGTGAGCCACCATACCCAACCTCCTTTTTAAAATTAAACTTATTCCTAGGTATTTAATATTATTGGTGCTATTGTAAGTGCTACTCTAATTTATTTCATTTTTTAATTGTTAGCAAGATAGTATTGATAAAAGCTACCGAATATTTAGATTCACCAGAGGAGAAGTAGCCAGTTAAGAGCCTGAGAAGGGGGAGCCAGTGAAGTAGAAAGGAAGGCAGAAGGAAACAAGGTTTCCAAAGGAAGATGATGATTAAGTGACCAAATATGTGGAATGCTGCTATCACATAGAGTAAGATGGGGACAGAAATGTGACCAAGTGGATTTAGAAAACTTTTTTCCAGATGTTTTACTTTGAATGATTGCTGAAAAAATTGGCAGTATCTATTAGGGATAGGTAGGCTCAAGAGAGGATTTTTTGTTTTTTTAGGAAGGGAGATACTAGATTATGTTTATATGATCAGAATGATCCATTAGGAATAAATTAATAATTCAGAGGATTATTCAAGAATTTAATCCTGGCTGGTCGCAGTGGCTCACACCTGTAATCCTAGCACTTTGGGAGGCTGAGATGGGTGGATCATGAGGTCAGGAGATCGAGACCATCCTGGCTAATACAGTGAAACCCCATCTCTACTAAATATACAAAAAAAAAAAAAAATTAGCCGGGCGTGGTGGTGGGTGCCAGTAGTCTCAGCTACTTGGGAGGCTGAGGCAGGAGAATGGCGTGAGCCCGGGAGGCAGAGCTTGCAGTGAGCCGAGATCGTGCCACTGCACTGCAGCCTGGCAGAGTGAGACTCCGTCTCAAAAGAAAAAAAAAGTTTAATCCTTAAGGGAAATGAGACAGAGAGGAATTATCCAAGAGCTAAATAATTGAAAACAGGAATGGAATTCTAAATCCAGATTTGACTTTTAATAACAGAAGACATTACACAAGGAAAAATGGAGATAGGTAGGATATACATTTAGAATTAAAGACATACTTAGAAGACTCAACTTCAGTTATATTATGCATAATAACAATTAACATTTATTGAATGCTTAACACTATATCTAGTACTCTTTAAAAACATCACTTAACCCTCATAAAACTTTATGAGATTGGACATACTAACCACACTTTATAGTTGAGAAAACAAGGTTCAAAGAGGTTAAGTAGTTGCTAAAGATCATATATCTAGTTATTGGTAGGCCTGGGTTGTTAAATTCTCGAAATCTTTAATGTGGGATATTCCAGTAACAAAGGACTAAAAGAGGCCAGGCAAGGTGGCGCAAGCCTGTAATCTCAGGACTTCGGGAGGCCAAAGCAGGAGGATTACTTGAAGGCCAGAAGTCTGAGGCCAGCCTGGGCAACATAGCCAGCCCCAATCTCTACAGTTTTTTTTTTTTTTTTTTTTTTTTTTAATTAACTGAGTGTGGTGGCACACAGTAGTCCTAGCTACTTGGGAGGCTGATGTGGGAGATGACCTGAGCCCAGGTGTTTGAGGCCCAGGAGTCTGAGGCAGCATTGCAGTCCAGCCTGGGTGATGGAGCAAGACCCTGTCTCTAACAAAATAAAATAAGGCCAGACGCAGTGACTCACGCCTGTAATCCCAGCACTTTGGGAGGCCAACGTGGGTGGATCACGAGGTCAAGAGATCAAGACTATCCTGGCCAACATGGTGAAACCGCGTCTCTACTAAAAATACAAAAAATTTGCTGGGTGTGGTGGTGCACGCCTGTAGTCCCAGCTACTCGGGAGGCTGAGACAGAAAAATTGCTTGAACCCAGAAGGCAGAGGTTGCAGTGAGCAGAGATCGCGCTGTTGCACTCCAGCCTGGGCAACACAGTGAGACTCCGTCTCAAAAAATAAATAAATAAATAAATAATAAAATACAATTTAAAAATGACTAAAAGATAGCTATTTATCAATCTTATTTTTTATGAGAAAATAGATGATTGATCAAGCAGTTTTCATCAGAACTGCTTAATTTTATTTACTTAGATAATGATAAACTGTTGTTTGTTTACTTAGAACACTAAAAATGTGTTACAAACTCCCAAAGAGAGCCACTAAGGATTTATTAATCTTATTTTGCAAATGCACAGATTGGTTTGTTTATTTTCATCATTATAAAGTAAATGTAGAAAATTAATATTTTGGTCATTTGTTGTTAATAGCAAACTTTTTTGTAAGAAGATTGAAAGACTGTTTGATCCTGAGTACTTGAATCCAGATTCTCGGAGTAATGCAGCAACCTTGTATAGGTATGCTAACATGTTTTTTTCTTTGATATACTTTATAATGCAGCTATATTCTGTAATTTACTACATTTACATTCTTCTTCCTGGATATTTTTTGTATTTTCTTTGTTTATAGATGCTGTTTGTGCAAGAAACTTTTAACAAAAGAAACAGAAAGAAGAATTCCTTGCATTCCTGGAAAAATCAATGTGGATCGACATGGAAATATTGTCTATATTCACATCAGGTGTCGTGAAGATAAAATATATTTTTATATATGTATTGTTGTTGTTGTTGTTGTTGTTTTGGAGACAGAGTTCTACTCTGTCACTCAGGCTGGCATGCAATGGCATGGTCTTGGCTAACTGCAACCTTCCCCTCCCAGGTTCAAGTGATTCTCCTGCCTCAGCCTCCTGAGTGGCTGGGACTACAGGTGCATGCCACGACACCCAGCTAATTTTGTATTTTTAGTATAGATGGGATTTCACTATGTTGGCCAGGCTGGTCTCGAACTCCTGACCTCGTGATTCACCCACCTCAGCCTCCCAAAGTGCATATTTATAAAAATATAACTACTTTTATAAGGAATGGGATAACATCTGTTTTGCGTGTGATCCAACTTTCATTTAGAAAAATACTTTCAAAACAAGGTAGTTGTTAGTACATTTTATTTACTGGGTAAATGTCATAATGTTTTAAACATTAAAATGATAAAAAATATTGTATGTTAATCTTGAAAGGTATTCTGGTTAGTGCCTTTAAAATGCTGTCTTTTCACTAACAGATTTTAGTTATCTGTACAAATGTTATATTGAATTTTACAAGAGAACCAAATTTACTTTCTGGTAAATTTTGGTGGGGAAAATTGTCTTTAGCGTTGTATTTTCTGTCATCTATTTGTTCTTCATACTTTGTCAGTATTTCATTAATATATAGGCTGGGCGCTGTGGCTTACACCTGTAATCCCAGCACTTTGGGAGGCCAAGGCAGGTGGATCACCTGAAGTCAGGAGTTCGAGACTAGCCTGACGACTGTGGTGAGACCCTGTCTCTACTAAATACAAAAAACTAGTCGGGCATGGTGGCAGGCACCTGTAGTCTCAGCTACTTGGGAGGCTGAGGCAGGGGACTCACTTGAACCCAGGAGGCGGAGGTTGCAGTGAGCCGAGATCATGCCACTGTACTCCAGCCTGGTGACAGAGCAAGACTCCGTCTCAAAAAACTAAATAAATAAAATAAAAATTAGCCGGGCATGGTGGTGCACACCTGTAACCCCAGCTACTTGGGAGACCAAGGCAGGAGAATCGCTTGAGCCCAGGAGGTGGAGGTTGCAGTGAGCTGAGATCACGCCATTGCACTCCAGCCTGGATAACACAAGTTAAATTCCGTCTGAAAACAGTAAAATAAATAAATACATAATACATATTTCTCTTTGTGTTCAAAACAAGTTCTCATTCTGAGTTGAGGGTGGGTGTTGTAACTTGGTATAATGTCTCAGGAGGCAGAAACCTCAAAATGTGTATTCTTTGACAACATCCTTCATCCAGTATCATTCAGGCTGAAATGCAGTGGTGTGATCATAGCTCACCGCAGCCTTGAACTCCTGGGCTCAAGAGATCTTCTTGCCTGTATTCTCAGCATTTTGGGAGGCTTAGGTGAGAGGATTACTTGAGGCCAGGAGTTTGAGACCAGCCTGGGCAACATAGCCAGACCCCATCTCTACAAAAAAAATTAAAAATTAGCTGAGCATGGTAATCCTAGCTAGGAGTCTGAGGCAGGAGGATCATTTGATCCCGGGAGTTTGAGGTTGCAATGAGCTAGGAGCATGCCACTGAACTGAAGTCTGGACAACAGAGCAAGACCCTGTTTCTTAAAAACAAAGTTATAAAAAAGTATATACATACATAAAAGTTGTTAGTGGTTAAAAAAATAGAATGTTCACTAAAACATTAATTGTGGTGTTACCTTTCAGTGATAGTATTACGGATGATTTTAATTTTCTTTTTGTTCTTTTTTCTATATTACAAATTTAGAGCATGCACTGTTATGAAAGAAACCCTACAAATGTTAAATTTCATATATATATATACACACCTATTAGTAATATGTGAAAAAGTAATTGATACTAACCTCAACATCCATTTTTGTTGTTTTATTCAAAGTATTTTCCTACATGTCAGCAGTTGATGTATACTTTTTTTTTTTTTTTTTTTTTTAGAGACAGTCTTTGTTGCTCAGGCTGGAATGCAGTGGTGCAATCATAGCTCACTGCAGTCTTGAACTCCTGGACTCTCAAGGCTCCCATATCAGCCTCCTGAGCTGGGACCATGGGTGCGCACCACCATGCCTGACAACCTGGCAATTGTGTGTATGTGTGCGTGTGTGTGTGTGTGTGTGTGCGCACAGGGTTTCACTGTGTTGCCAAGGCTGGTCTTCAACTACTGGCCCAGGCCTCAAGCAGTCCTCCCACTTCAACCTCTCAAAGTGCTAGGATTACAGGTGTGAGCCACCATTCCCGGCAGATGTATACATTTAAAAAATTGTTTTTAAATTAATTTTTTTTTTGAGATAGAGTCTCACTCTGTCGCCCAGGCTGGAGTGCAATGGCGCAATCTTGGCTCACTGCAACCTCCACCTCCCGGGTTCAAATGATTCTTCTGCCTCAGCCTCAGCCTCCCGAGTAAACCTCTCTGACCTAAAATTACTTTTAAGACAAATGTGCCTGTGTAATTTGTAATAACATCATGACATTTTATTTTTGAGCTAAGCACAAAGCCGGCAAAGTTAGAAAAGACTGAAATAAAGACTTAAAAGAATCAGGTCTACAATCCCAGCAGTTTGGGAGGCTGAGTCAGGAGGACTGCTTCTGGGCAGGAGTTTAAGACCGGCCTGGGCAACATAGCGAGACCCCTTTCTCTACAAAAAATTTTTTATATTAGCCAGGTGTAGGTTTGGCACAGTAGCTCATGCCTGTAATCCTAGCACTTTGGGAGGCTGAGGCGGGTGGATCACCTGAGGTCAATAGTTCGGGACCAGCCTGGCCAATGTGGTAAAACCCCGTCTCTACTAAAAATACAAAAATTAGCCAGGCATGGTGGCATGCACCTGTAATCCCAGCTACTCGGGAGGCTGAGGCAGGAGAATCGCTTGAACCCGTCAGGGCAGAGGTTGCAGTGAGCCAGTATCATGACACTTCACTCCAGCCTGGGCAAAAGAGTGAAACTGGGTCTAAAAAAAAAAAAAATTAGCCAGGTGTGATGACACATACCTGTAATCCCAGGTACTCAGGAGGCTGAGGTGGGAGAATCACTTGAACCAAGGAGTTTGAGGTTGCCAATAAGCTATGATGATTGCGCCACTGCACTCCAGGCTGGGTGACAGAGTATGACCCTCTCTCAAAAACAAAACAACAACAACAACAACAAAAAAAAACTTGAGTTGCATATGACCATAGCAAATATGGTTTTGAGCCTTTGCTGTTTTTTAACTTTATATTATTTAATTAAAAAATCTATATTACCAAGACCTGATTGTATATTCTGTATCGCTCAATTACTAAAAAATACTTGAAAATAGTGTAAAATACTAATACATTAATGAAATGTACAAATACATTAATGATTCTAATGTCTAGAATCACCAGTCCTATAACATATGCATTTAGAATAAAGCTTCCATTTAACATATGCCTAATTCCCAACTGTTGGCCTGTTCAAACTATATTTAATTTGTAATCCTGTATCTAGCTTTGCAAAATAATTTGATATTCAAATAATTCATACCTTTTCCTGTTGTCCACCAAATATACAAACCCTGTCTCTACTAAAAATACAAAATTAGCCGGGTGTGGTGGCACACGCCTGTAATCCCAGCTAGTTGGGAAGCCAAGGCAGGAGAATTGCTTGCATCCTGGAGGTGGTGGTTGCAGTGAGCCAAGATCATGCCATTGCACTCCAGCCTGGGCAACAAGAACGAAACTCCATCTCAAAAAAGATACTAAATAAATAAAGCAAATCATTTATATCACTTGCTTGTAAAATTGAGGCTTTTTCCCCAGAGATAAGACATGGGATGTTCATGAGTATTTGAATAGTCTTTTCGAAGAATTAAAATCTTGGAGAGATGTATACTGGCGATTGTGGGGAACAATCAACTGGCTGACTTGTTCAAGATGTTATCAGGTAAGTTTTTTTTTTTAGTATCCTGCTCTGCAAATATTGAGAGCAAGATTCTTTTGATATCTGCTGTTTAATCAATGTATTTAAACGTGTTTGGACAATATCCAACATCTTTTTAAAGAAACTAGTGGCAGCTGGGCATGGTGGCTCATGCCTGTAATCCCAGCACATTTAGAGGCCGAGGCAGGCAGATCGTTTTGGCCCAGGAGCTCAAGACCAGCCTGGGCAACATAGTGAGACTCCATCTCTTAAAAAAAATAAAACTAGGCCCGGTGCGGTGACTCACGCCTGTAATCCCAGCACTTTGGGAGGCCGAGGTGGGTGGATCACGAGGTCAGGAGATCAAGACCATCCTGTCTAACATGGTGAAACCCCATCTCTTGTAAAAATACGAAAAATTAGCCAGGTGTGGTGGCATGTGCCTGTAGTCCCAGCTATTTGGGAGGCTGAGGCAGGAGAATCATTTGAACCTGGGAGGCAGAGGTTACAGTGAGCCGAGATTGCGCCACTGCCCTCTAGCCTGGGCGACAGAGCAAGACTCTATCTCAAAAATAAAATAAAATTAAAAATAAAACTAGTGACAAAAGCAAGGGTGCTGCTAAATGTTTTTTGCATCTGGCTTCATATCTCTTGACATGTTTCTTCTTTCTCTTTTTCTTTTTTTTATTTCCATTCCTGAAACAATCAAAGACTTGTTGAATTTTTAGAAAAGTAACACGTTTTGGCCGGGCATGGTGGCTCACGCCTGTAATCCCAGCACTTTGGGAGGTCGAGACAGGTGGATCACCGGAGTTCAGGAATTCGAGACCGGCCTGACCGACATGGAGAAACCCCATCTCTCCTAAAAATACAAAATTAGCCAGGCGTGGTGGCGCATGCCTGTAATCCCAACTACTCAGGGTGCTGAGGCGGGAGAATCACTTGAACCCGGCAGGCAGAGGTCGCGGTGATCCGAGATTGCACCATTGCACTGCAGTCTGGGAAGGAGGGAAACTCCATCTCAAAAAAAAAAAAAAAAACCTCACTGGTTTTAAGTGATCAAATCCAGTTTTTCAATGAAAACAATTGTATAAAAAAAGTCCTTATTGCCTTCACTTGTTTCCAGCCAAACTATTTTCTCTGATGTTCTATACATTTCTATAGAAATTCAGAAGCACCTTTGCAGATAGGATGCTATTGATGTGTGCCTTTGTTGTTATAACAATTTTGTTCCCAAAAAGTTTTTGTTTTTTATTAATGTTTATAATAAAAGCATAAGAAAACTTGCTATTTGTAGGAACCTATAATAAACCCTTTTATGGAATAAATAGGTTTTTCTAAGTCACACTCATTCCTAATTAATCTTATGTAGAAATGTAGCGTTCTCGACATATAATTTCTTTTGAATCCCTGAAGTTTTCCTCTTCCCAGTACTTTTCCTCTCTCATTTGCGTGATGATTTTCAATAGAGGGAAGGAAGAACAGCCTGTCGGAATCTTCAGATTGGGATTTTAAACTGTTTAAGGTCCCACTCAATGGGTTCTACATTACCACAATTTTAAAAAGATTTGTTGAAGTATTATATACAGTAAAATTCATCCTTTTTGTGACCTTCAACAATGCATACAATTGTATAACTACCTCTGCAATCAAAGCATGTAACACTTACATCACCCTAAAAGAAATTTCTTTGTGCCCCTCTGTAGTCAATTCATTCCCCCACCCTAGCCTCTGGTAACCACTGGTCTGTTTATATATATTTAGTTTTGCCTTTTCCAGAACGTCATATAAGTAGAATCATACAGCATTTAGCTTTTTGAATCTAGCTTCTTTCACTTTGAAAAATGGATATAAAATCTATTCATGATGTTGTTTCATAAATTAGTTTGTTATTTTTTATGGCTAAGTAGTAATCTGTTGTTTGACTATATCACAGTATGTTCAGACATTCACCAGGTGGAGGATGTTTGTAGTGTTCTAGTGTGGGGACATTATGAAGAAAGCTGCTATAAACATTTTCATACAGGTTTTCCTGTGAACATAGGATTTTATTTCTCTTGGATGTATTTATTTCTCTCTTTTTTTTTTTTTTTCTTGAGATGGAGTTTCACTCTTTTTGCCTAAGCTGGAGTGCTATGGCGCCATCTTGACTCACTGCAACCTCCACCTCCCGGGTTCAAGCGATTCTCCTGCCTCAGCCTCCCAAGTAGCTGAGATTACTGGCACACGCCAACACACCAGGCTAATTTTTTGTATTTTTAGTAGAAATGGGGTTTCACTGTGTTAGCCAGGATGGTCTTGAACTCATGACCTCAGGTGATCTGCCTGCCTCGGCCTCCCAAAGTACTAGGATTACAGGCCTGAGCCACTACGCCTGGCCTCTCTTCTTTCTTATTACCTAGGAGTAGGATTGCTGGTTTGTGTGGTGGTTTAACACTCGCCGTGCCTAACGGTTTTCCAAAGTCCCAGAATCATTTTGCATTTCTACCAGCTACGTATGAGAGTTCTAGTTGCCCCACATCTCAGTAGCAATTGATATTGTCAGGTTTGGATTTTTTTGTTAATCTAATAGGTATGTAAAGGTCCTCCTCACAATCTGAGTGTCAGTGTCACTTATAATCAAGGATATCAAGCTTCTAAAACCTGACTTGCTCAACATGTCAGAATGCGGAAACTTTGAGAGATTATTTTCCTCTCCTTTACAGCAAATTGAATATTGATTGATTGATATTGAATATTTATTATAGAGCTCATAAACTCATAATAGTTTGTATGCAGAATATTGTATATAAGAGAATGTGCACCTTATAGTTTTTATAAGTTCTCAAATTTTTAAAATTAAAAACCATTATGTGAACATCATAATTGAAACTAACACTAAAATTTCTGAATTATAGACAACTAAAAATTCTGAATTATAGACTATTCTTTAATGCATTTATGTTAAAGATCAGTGCTTATCAAATCTCAGCAACTTCAGTACGTCATAATATAAATAGAAAAAACAGATCAGTGCTTAGAATTGTTAATGTTGTGTTTTTATTTGAATTATCTTACTAACTTGTTTTTTTTAACCTGTTCTCACTCAGAGTCCCTCCTCCCCTGACAGGACCCTATTCAGAGTTTCCCTTCTTAAAGTCTCCCCAAGTGAGGAACTCTCTTAACAAGGGCCCGCTCCTGGTGCGATGCTATAGCTTTTCATCCCATCTCAGAGCCCCCCTCAAAAAGAAACAAGTGATCAGAGTACCAGTCAGGGTACCTCCCAAAAGCCCAGCGATCTCCCCTCCATCCAGTCCAAGGTATCACTTTTTCACCTTTTCTGGTCCTTTCCCCGACAGGGATTAATGGTATTACCCATTCAGGTCTTTCTTCACCCCAGGCCTTGTGGGACCGCCCTTAATCATCCAGTGGTACTGCCCCCTTTTAGGATTCACCACTGCCACTCACACAGAATCTCCACCCAGAAGCAATGACATCTGGGGTCTTTCCGCAGTCCCCTAGCATGGTATTTCTTACAAACTTTCTACCTCCCACTGGCTAATGGAATTGCCCTCCCAATGGCTCCCCCACCCATGACACAAAAGCCCAACATCCCCTTCCTTTCTTTCCAGATAAAATGGTTTTGCCTTCTCAAGGTCTCCTGCCTTCAAAACCCAACATTATCATCACCCACCAATGGTGCCCCCTGCACAGGCCCAAAAGTCTTGTCCCCTCTAGATCTGAGTAAGATATCATCTACTCAAGGATGCTCTCCCTAGCCCACAAGGCTAACAGAATCCAACCTTCAGAGCCCCACAGTATCTCTGAATCCAATAATTTCACCACTCAGAGCCTCAGTTTCCCTCTCCAAACCAACTTCTGGGACTCAGGGTCCATCCCAACCAACCTTTTCTCTGAGCTGGTGGCATAACCTCTGTCTACCTGCCAGCCCCCAGCTGCCTAGCCCAGTGGTCTTTCCCATTGCAAGCAGCACCTGCGTCCACTGAAACTCCACTTAGACAGTGCTTGCACCATGTTCTTTTTTTTCTTCTTTTTTCCTGAGATGGGATCTTGCTACATTGCCGAGGCTGGCCTCGAATTCCTAGGTTTAAGCAGTCCTTCTGCCTCAGCCTCCCTAGTAGCTGGAGTGACAGGTGTGTACCATCACACCTGGCCCTATTTTACCAACTTATAAACAATTGAAACCTGATGGTTAATTTGACAATTAAACCTTGATAAGCTTTTATCGAAGTTTTCAAAGCCAATGATTCAAAGTTACGTCATAGTTTTTATTAATACTGATGTAAATATTTACCTTAAAAATGCCTCAAGGGACCAGGCATGGTGACTCATGCCTGTAATCCCAGCACTTTGGGAGACCAAGGCAGGCGGATCACCTGATGTCAAAAGTTCAAGACCAGTCTGACCAACATGGCGAAACCCTGTCTCTACTAAAAATAGAAAAATTAGCCAGATATGGTGGTGTGTACCTGTAATACCAGCTACTCGGCAGGCTGAGGCAGGAGAATCGCTTGAATCTGGGAGGTGGAGGTTGCAGTGAGCCGTGATGGCACCACTTCACTCCAGCCTGGGCAATAGAGCAAGATTCCGTCTCAAAAAAAAAATGCATCAAGGAATAACCAAATGAAGCAAAATTTTATTTTTCTTTGGAAAACATTTGAGGTGATTGGCCAATTGTAAAATTGAATGTATATCAAGATCAGTTTAATTCATCTGAATTTTGCTTAAGGTGATTTCATTTTTTGCTCTCTAATAGCTTTATTCAGGTGGAATTACATGCCATGAAATTTACTCATTTTATTTTTTTATTTTTATTTTTTAAGTTAGGTTGTGTTCAGAATTTACTGTTTTTAAATCTGCAGTTCACTTTTTTTTTTGTAAATTTAGAGTTGTACAGTCATCACCATCATCCAATTTTAGCACATTTCTATCACCTCAAAAAGATCCCTCATGCCCATTTGCTGCTATTCCACATTATAACCTTCCACCCCTGGCAACCACTGATCTATTTTGTGTCTGTATAGATTGGCTTTTTCTGCATATTTCATATAAATGGAACATATAATATTTGGTCTTAAGTATTTTTGAAATGTATAATTTTGTTGTGGAAATAGTAGTTGATTTTATCTATTTCTTTCTTAGGCCTTTCTCTGTATTGAATTTTCACATTGTCAGTATCACTCAGAAACAGTGGTTTATCCTACTGCAGCAAGTTCATTGAATACTGTTGGCACTGGAATTTATCCCTGTTGTAACCAAAAGATTCTTCGGTTTGATCCTACTCAGCTTACAAAGGTGAATTTTGAATATTGCTCTTTTGTAGCTACAGTTTTTAAAGTATAACAGTAATACATTAATGTATAAAAGACTTCCAACAATACATAAATAAGTATAGGAAGAAGGAGTTCTTCTTTATAACACTCCCATTTTCCATCTCTTCTTAGAGATAATCACTGTTAATGGTTTCCTTTCAGACCTTCTTTTGTACCTTTCAGGCACAAATTATATATTTTTTTTGTTTTTTGGAGGTTTTTGTTTTTTGTTTTTTGAGATGGGGTCTCCCTCTGTCGCCCAGGCTGGAGTGCAGTGGTGCCATCTCGGCTCACTCCAGCCTCTGCCTCCCAGGCTCAAACAATCCTCCCACCTCAGCCTTCCGAGTAGCTGGGACTCCAGGCACACGCCACCATACTCAGTTATTTTTTGTATTTTTGTTAGAGACGGGGTTTCGCCATGTTGCCCAGGCTGGTCTCGAACTCATGAACTGAAGCGAGCTACCTGCTTTGGCCTCCCAGAGTGCTGGGATTACAGGTGTGAGCCGCCACACCCAGATTTATATATGATTTTTTGTTTTGGAAACCAGATCATACTAATAATATTCTGTAATTTGCCTTTTTTACTCAACAACGTAAGTAGGGTATCTTTCTGTGCTATTTTATTTAACTGCTGTATAATATTCCAAGCTATGTATGTATCACAATTTAACCATTCTCCTATTAATGAACATTTAGGTGGTTTCTAGACTGATGGTATTACTGTGTTGCAGTGTGTATCCTTGCACATACATATTGATGCAATGTGTGAGTATTGCTATAGGTTAGATTCTCTGATCACAAACACTTTTGAAAATGTTCTGTAATTAAATGTCATGTGTGAATGAAAGGAGCCTAAAGCTCTTTATCATCATCCACACAAAAAATACTTACAAAGCACCAAAAATTGCCATACACTGTGCAAGGCGGAGGATAGCATGTAAAATCGGATCATTTATGCCCTTGTGGAACTTATAGCTGAGGCAGTAATACCAAAAGGAAAAAAGCACCCAAGTAAATGTTTGAAGACACATACAGGGCCCTAAATATCTATAATAGGCTGGTATGATTCAGCCATAGATGTCAAGGAAATCCTCAAAGGAGTTGGCATTAAGTTGAGATCTGAAGGATTCATAGGAGTATGTGAGGTGAAGAGGAAGGGAAAGAGTGTTCTAGTCAGAACAGCAAGGTCAGAAGGAACACAGTGAGTAAAAGAGACTGACAATCTGAGGCTGTCCTAGAAAACATGCATAGTTCAAGACAAGTCTGGAGAGGTAGGTAGGTGTCAGTCCATGCTGGAGCAGGATGTCATAAGCCATGTTCAAGTTTTTCTTTTATCTCCATTTTGAAAATATCAGTTGCAGTGTGGAGAAGGCACACTTGATGGGTAGTCAGTGGAATCACGTACAAAAGGAAGTTATCATAGTAGTCTTAGAGAGAGATGATGGTACCAGAGCAGTGAAGATTAAGAGAAGTGGATGAATTTAATATTTAAGAGATGAAACTGATATTATCTGACAGATTATATTGCAGAGGGAGAGGGGGAAGGATGACTCAGTTTCTTGTTGGTGCTACTGGATAGCTGCTATTCACTGAAGAGGAAGCAGCAGACGGAAATCAGGTTTTGAGAGACTCATGAGTTCTGTTTGGATATTTTGAGTTTGAGGTGCTTTCTGAGATAACCAGATAGAGGCTGTTAGATATATGAGTTTTGGAGCTCAGACAAGTGGTTAGGCTGGAGATAATAACTCATAAGTTTTCTTGCAATAGATGATAGTTAAAGCCAGCAGGTATAGGTGAGCATATGAAGAGCAGAGGGAAACTACAGCTATGTCTGGATGAAGCAGCATGAGCCAGCAAAGGAGAATGGTCAGGGGCAGCCAGAATGATAGGAGAAAAATTGAGGATGTTGAGGGAGTAATATTAAAGAAAGAGGAGTGGACTGTGGTGCCTAGTATGGCTAAGAGGTCAAATAAAATAATGAAAGAACTGTGTCCTTTGGCCTTAGTGACAGGGAATTCATAGGTGTGAAGACCTGTTTTGGTGGAGTGCTAGATCCAGAAGCCAGGTTTGTATGGGTTGAGAAATGAGTGAGAGATTAACAAATGGGAACAGTATATATGACATCTCTTTTGGGAAATTTGAGAAAGGGAGGAGATAGATTAGTAATTTAAGTTATGAATATTTGTTTAGTGTTTTGGGGGTTGTTTTTTGTTTGTTTGTTTGTTTGAGAAGGATTCTCACTGTTGCCCAGGCTGGAGTGCAGTGGCACGATCTCGGCTCACTGCAATCTCTGCCTCCCGGACTCAAGCGATTCTCTTGCCTCAGCCTCCCAAGTAGCTGGAATTATAGGCACGTGCCACCATGCCTGGCTAATTTTTGTATTTTTAGTAGAGATGGAGTCTCACCATATTGGCCAGGCTGGTCTCGAACTCCTGACCTCAAATGACCCGCCCATCTGGGCCCCCCAAAGTGCTGGGAATATAGGCATGAGCCACCATGCCTGACCTTGTTTCTGTTTTGATACGAGAGAACCTTTTAAAAGTCAGTGGGAAGGATCCAGCTGAGAAGGAGAGGTTGATGGTATAAGGTGAGAAGGCAGGGTAGGGTGGGACCTTAACCACATTTAGTGGTATTAATTTCGACAAGAGGATGGACAGCTCCTCTGTTACAACAGGAGAGAAGAGAAGAATGGTTGTCGATATTAGTAAAATTGTGTTTTTGTCATTTAGTTGATAACTTATTCCAATCTAATGCTTTTTCTGTTCTCTAAAAAGTAGAAGATTAAGCCATCCACTAAGAATAAGGGGGAAAGGGGAAGGTTCCAAGGTTTGAGGGAAGTATGGAAGGTTTGAAATAGCATTTTGAAAAATAGAAGAGTGAATTTTCCAGAGAAAATGTATATTGCCAGGAAGTTTGAGAGCTCACTGGAGATTGGCAGTCATAAGTTCACAATATAATTCATCATGCCTGTTTATATCACTCTCTCCAGTAACCCTTGGCTGCATGAGTACAGGCAGGGAGAAAATGGGTAGTTGAGTTCATCTAGAGTTAGGATTTTGCCAGATGGGGATGATGAAATTTAGGGGCAAGGAATCTGGGATATTGGCATGAATGTTACTGAATGATGGGTCATGGAATTTAAACTGGATTCGTTTTCTTGTATTTGCAATCCGTTACCAACTTTGAATACTTAAAAGTTTTATCGGTGAGGCAATAGATTACTTACATAACATTTATTCTTAAAGTTATACATTTTACAAACAAAGATACTTAAATTGGGCATGATTTAAGTTAAGCAAAATTAAGCAAAAGTTAAGCAAAATTAGATTAGCTTTGCTAGACCCAAGATATTTCATTAATTCATCATTACTATTATGTTTTTTTCAGTAACATGATTTTTTAGTCTTTACATTTCTTTCTAACCACATTAATTTTTAACCTCATTAGTTTGTAACCACAAATTTACATTTGTGGTTAGTTTGTTTCCATTTTAGCTATCACATTTCCACATCGTTTCGAGCAAAATATATTTCTTTGTAGGCATCTTTAAAAAATATATCGGCTGGGTGTGGTGGCTCATGCCTGTAATCCCAGCACTTTGGGAGGCCGAGGCGGGCGGATCATGAGGTCAGCAGATCAAGACCATCCTGGCTAACACAGTGAAGCCCCTTCTCTACTAAAAATACAAAAAATTAGCTGGGCGTGGTGGTGGGCGCCTATAGTTCCAGTTACTCAGGAGGCTGAGGCAGGAGAATGGTGTGAACCTGGGAGGTGGAGCTTGCAGTGAGCCAAGATCACGCCACTGCACTCCAGCCTGGGCGACAAGTCATGACATTGTCGGAAGAAAAAAAAAATTATATATATATATAGGCCGGGCACGGGGTGGCTCATACCTGTAATCCCAGGACTTTGGGAGGCCGAGATGGGTGGATCACCTGAGGTCAGGAGTTCAAGACCAGCCTGGCCAATATGGGGAAAACACTGTCTCTACTGAAAATACAAAAATTAGCTGGGCATCATGGTGGGCGCCTGTAATCCCAGCTACTCAGGAGGCTGAGGCAGGAGAATCGCTTGAATCCAGGAGGCGGAGGTTGCAGTGAGCCAAGATCAGACCATTTTACTCCAGCCTGGGTGACAGAGCAAGACTCTATCTCAAAAGAACCAAAATATATATATGATGAATCTTTTGTTGATGTATATGTTGCTTGTATCCCGGCTGGGCACGGTTGCTCATGCCTGTGATCCCAGCACTTTGGGAGGCCGAGGTGGTCAGATCATGAGATCAAGAGATCGGGACCACCCTGGCCAACATGGTGAAACCCCGTCTCTAGTAAAAATACAAAAATTAGCTGGGTGTGGTGGTGTGTGCCTGTAGTCCCAGCTACTTGGGAGGCTGAGGCAGGAGAATTGCTTGAACCCGGGAGGCAGAGATTGCATTGATGTGAGATCGTGCCACTGCACTCCAGCCTAGCAACAGAGCAAGACTGTGTCTCAAAAAAAAAAAAAAACGGGAGAAAGACAATAGGCACTTCAGACAAAAAAACAGTTGTTCTGTAAACATGAAAACGACAACCTCATTTGTGACTGGATAGATACAAATTAAAGCCAGAATGAATACCAATACACATTTACCAGAATGACTAAATTTTTTTTTTTTTGAGGTGGAGTCTTGCTCTGTTGCCCAGGCTGCAGTGTAGTGGCACAATGTTGGCACACTGCAACCTCTGTCTCCCAGGTTCAAGCAATTCTCATGCCTCAGCCTCCTGAGTAGCTGGATTACAGGTGCCTGGCACCACGCCTGGCTAAATTTTTGTATTTTTATTAGAGATGGGGTTTCACCATGTTGGCCAGGCTGGTCTCGAACTCTTAACCTCAAGTGATCTGCCTGCCTCGGCCTCCCAAAGTGATGAGCCACCACGCCCAGCCAGAATGACTACAATTTAAATGTCTGACCAAGTGTTAGCAAGGATGTGGAGTAACAGAAATCCTCGTATACTGCTGATGGTAATATAATTTGGTACGCATGAGCACCTGTGTACTGGGAAACAGACAAAAGAATGTTCATAGCAATATTATTTTTAGTAGCCCCAAACTAGAAACAACCCATCTATCAGTGGTGGAAGAGGTAAATAAATGGTGTATATTCATGCTGTGAAACACTATACATTAAAGCAAATGTTATTATTACATGAAATAACATCGTTGAATCATAAAAACATAATTTTTTTTTTTTTTTTTTTGAGAGGGAGTCTTGCTCTGTCACCCAGGCTGGAGTGCAGTGGCGCGATCTCGGCTCACTGCAAGCTCCGCCTCCTGGGTTCACGCCATTCTCCTGCCTCAGCCTCCCGAGTAGCTGGGACTACAGGCGCCCACCACCACACCCGGCTAATTTTTTTTTTGTATTTTTAGTAGAGATGGGGTTTCACCGTGTTAGCCAGGATGGTCTCGATCTCCTGAACTCGTGATCCACCCTCCTCGGCCTCCCAAAGTGCTGGGATTACAGGCGTGAGCCACCGCACCTGGCCATTACAGGCGTGAGCCACCGACCTGGCCCTTTTTTTTTTTTTTTTTTTTTTTTTTTTTTTTTATGAGACAGGATTTCACTCTCACCCAAGCTGGAGTGCTATGGCCTGATCACTGCTAAAGGCAATCTCAACCTCCCTGAGCTCAAGTGATCCTCCCAATTCAGCTTCCTGAGGTAGCTGGGACTGGAGACATGCACCACCACACCCAGCTAATTTTTTTTCTACTTTTTTAGAGGCAGGGTTTTGCCATGTTGCCCAGGCTAATCTCAAACTCCTGGGCTCAAGCAATCCACCCACCTCGGCCTCCCAAAGAGCTGGGATTACAGGCTTGAGCCATCTCACCCAGTAGAAACATAATGTCAAGCAAAACAGGTGAGACAAAACTAAACTATAGTGTTTAGGAATGCATCCTTAAGTGGCAGAGGGATAAAGAAAAGCAAGGAAGTAATTACCACAAGCCAGGGTAGAGGTTACCTGTTGGGAGGAGGGAAACCATTATGATCAGAATTGGGTCTGTGGGGACTCCTAGAGTGTTGGCAATGTTCTAATTCTTAATGTGGATTGTGATAATATGGGTATTCTTGGGTATTTATTAAGCCATACAGTTATGATTGAATCTCTTTTCTATATGAGGAATGTTTTTCTTGAGAAAAAGTTGTAAAATATGTATATGACAATATGACTAGGCAAAGAAAAGAAAAACAGTGATCTTTAAAGGAGTGTTCTGTAAGAAACTAACCTCTAATTTATTGTCTCTTATGTGACAGGGTTGTAAAGTAAGGGACCACATGATTACACTTCGTGATCAAGGTGAAGGCGGAGATTTGCCATCCTGTCCCATTGCTAGAATATTGGACGATTTGCACAAGTACAGAGATGTCATTGTTGTGCCTTTTTCAAAAGATACAATTAGGTGAGGGGTGGAAAAACCCAACACTGTATTATAGCTTTATTCAGCGGTTCCTATTTCAGAATCCCTTATCCCATAGTGCTTCCCCAAATCAGCAATGTCAGTCCTCAAGTAGTTTTCATTATTTCAGAAAACTAAAATTATATGTTAGCTTACAATAAGAGCAGAGAGATATTTATTTGATAGGCAGAACACTTAAAAATACTGGAGGTGGCCGGGCACGGTGGCTCACATCTTTAATCCCAGCACTTTGGGAGGCCGAGGTGGGCGGATCACAAGGTCAGGAGATCGAGATCATCCTGGCTAACATGGTGAAACCCTGTCTCTACTAAAAATACAAAAAATTAGCCGAGCATGGTCGTGGGCGCCTGTAGTCCCAGCTACTCGGGAGACTGAGGCAGGAGAATGGTGTGAACCCGGGAGGCAGAGCTGGCAGTGAGCCGAGATCGCGCCACTGCACTCCAGCCTGGGCAACAGAGCAAGACTCCGTCTCAAAAAAAAAAATACTGGAGGTACAAGGGGAGGAAAAACAAATGAAAAGAGCCCCTGGTGATTAAAAAGGTTAAGACCTTAAATCCAGTTTGTGGTGGTGACTGGTGAGGGTTCCCAATTTGCTTGAGGCCCTCTCAATCAATTGATCAACCAATTGATTGTATCAATCAGTGCATGATTGATACAACTAGAAAAAAATATTGATGGTTGAGTTCATCTCTCCGTAAGTATGAACTCCTCGAATTCAGTAATTTCTGAAGTCACGTTCATCATTTTGCAATGGCAGCAGGCTGTAAGGTTAGAGGCTGGAGGACACTTTAAAAGAGGCTGTTCTTAGCTGGGCGCGGTGGCTCACACCTTTAATCCCAGTATTTTGGGAGGCCAAGGCAGGCCGATCACTTGAAGTCAGGAGTTTGAGACCAGCCTGGCCAACGTGTGGAAACCCTGTCTCTTCTAACCAGGCATAGTGGCGGGTGCCTGTAATCCCAGCTATTTGGGAGGCTGAGGCAGGAGAATCGCTTGAACCCGGGAGGCAGAGGCTGCAGTGAGCTGAGATTGTGCACTTAACTCCAGCCTGGGCAACAGAGGGAGACTCCGTCTCAAAACAAAAAGAAAAAAAGAAATATCTTTTTTTTTTTCAGTTGGAGTTTCGCTCTTTTGCCCAGGCTGGAGTGTGGTGGCATGATCTCGGCTCACTGCAACCTCTGCCTCCCTGTTTCAAGCGATTCTCCTGCCTCAGCCTCCTGAGTAGCTGGGATTACAGCTACCCACCACTACGCCTAGCTAATTTTTGTATTTTTAGTAGAGACAGGGTTTCACCATGTTGGCTAGGCTGGTCTCGAACTACTGGTCTCGAACTCCTGACCTCGTGATCCACCCACCTCAGCCTCCCAAAGTGCTGGGATTACAGGCGTGAGCCACCGCGCCTAGCCACCCCCCCCTACTTTTTTTTTTTTTTTTTGAGGTGGAGTCTCACTCTGTCACCAGGCTGGAGTGCAGCATCGCAATCTCAGCTCACTGCAACCTCCACCTCCTGGGTTCAAGCAATTGCCCTGCCTCAGCCTCCCAAGTAGCTGGGATTACAGGCACGTACCACCATGCCCAGATAATTTTTTATATTTTAGTAGAGACAGGGTTTCACCATGTTGACCAAGATGGTCTCGATCTCCCGACCTCGTGATCTGCCCACCTCAGCCTCCCAAAGTGCTGGGATTACAGGCGTGATCCACTGCGCTTAGCCAAGGCTGTTCTCAAAACAGTACCAATTATGCAGCCCATTCCACCACCTTGCAGGTACGATGCTTCAGGTACAATGGTGCTTGCCGTATGGGGTGTCTTTTGCTAGAGGAATCACTATACGAATTAAGAAATGTCATTGTTGGCTGGGCACAGTGGCTCACACCTGTAATCCCAGCATTTTAGGAGCCAAGGTGGATGGATCACCTGAGGGTAAGAGTTCAAGACCAGCCTGGCCAACATGGTGAAAATACAAAATTAGCCAGGCATGATGGCAGGTGCCTGTAATCCCAGCTACTCAGGAGGCTGAGACAGGAGAATCGCTTGTACCTGGGAGGCAGAGGTTGCAGTGAGCCAAGATCATGCCATTACTCTCCAGCCTGGGTGACAGAGCGAGACCCCATCTCAAAAAAACAAACAAAAAAAAGGAAATGTCATTGTCGAAGTGATATCCTTATACTCAGGAACTGTATTTTTGAAGAGCAATTTATGAAACATTTGCAATAAAAAGATATTCACATTTAAATTTTTAAGAAAGTAAACTCTTCTCCATAAAAATGTCTTTTTCTTTCAAGTGATGTTGGGGTTGGCCCCTGTGATGAAAAGGGTATAGAATGTGATGTTTTACTGGAGCCAAATACACCATGGGGTCCCAAAACTGGGGAGCTCAATGCTGTGAGTAGCTTGTTTCACTTATTCTTTATTTACATAAATAATTAATGACATTTAATTTTTGACAGGAACCTGATCAATTTAAGTTGAAATTGAACTGACTACCTAATCATAAGAAGGTATTATGCCTACTAATAGGACTCTAAGGGTAATAGGACACATTTCTTGCCCTTAAAGAATTAATAATGAATACATTTAAATTTGGGGGAAAAAACAACATGGGGTCAGGCATGGTAACTCACACCTGTAATCCCAGCACTTTGGGAGGCTGAGGCAGGAAGATGGCTTGAGCCCAGGAGTTTGAGACCAGCCTGGGCAATATAGTGAGACCTCATCTCTACAAAAATGGTTGAAAACTTAGCCAAATGGAGTGCCTTGTGCCTGTAGTCGAAGTTTCGCTGGGAGGCTGAGGTGGGAAGATTGCTTAAGCCCAGGAGGCAGAGGTTGCAGTGAGCCGAGATCGCACTACTGCACTGCAGCCTTGGTGACAGAGGGAGACTCTGTCTCAAAAAAAAAGAAAAACCAAAAACATAACATGCTCTTTAAGGTTTTTATTATGGACAAATTATGATTTGAAGAATGAAGATAGCATGAATGGATATTTTGTTTCCTCCTCGTTCTGTAACTTTTTTTTTTGGCTTAAAATTATCCTTTTATTGTAATTAGGAATATATTTAGATTCTTCAAAAGTTCCAGTCTGGAGTCTAGGTGACAGAGTGAGACCCTGTCTCAAAAAACAAACACACAAAAGTTTCAAAACTGAAATATTTTTAAAGTGACCAGAAAACTTGATTCCTTTGACTCCTTTTTATTCCATTGCCTTTGTTACTAAACTTATTTGCCTATGAATGTTCTGTCTTTGTGTTGGTTAAGATGGCATTTACTTGAGAAAGTGAAATATGCCCTGTGAAGTGCTTTATGAACTTCAGACAGCTATACAAATATTCACTCATGCCAGGCATGGTGGTTCATGCCTGTAATCCCTGCACTTTGGGAAACTGAGATTAGGAGTTCAAGACCAGCCTGGTCAACATGGTGAAACCCTGTCTCTACTAAAAATACAAAATTTAGCTGGGTGCAGTGTCATGCCCCTGTAATCCCAGCTACTCAGGAGGCTGAGGCAGGAGAATCCCTTAAACCCAGAAAGTGGAGGTTGTGGTGAGTGGAGATTGTGCCATTGCACTCCAGCCTGGGCGACAGAGTGAGACTCTGTCTCAAAAAAAAAAAAATCACACATTAACATTTCTTTATCAATTATATGTCAAACAACAAACTAGATTAATTGAATGTCCAGAATGTCCATATGTAGTCGGCTTCCTAAATTTATATTAAAATATATACATTAAAAAGTGATTGAAATAGTTCTAAAAATAACAAATTATTTTAGTTATTTACTTGCACGTGATTGACTTGTCCTTTGGAAATAATACTGGGAAAGTGTCTTTCTTTTTAGAAAGCATCCACATCCTCCTCTGGCAGAGAATATTAAAGACTGTAACATATCACTTTCAGCCTGAGTTTTAAATTATGTTTCAGCCTGGAAGGGAACTATATTTGTAACTTCTTTCAACTCTTCTACAATATCTATATGAAAATAAGGAGCTACAATCTGGGTAAATGCAGATTTATTAATCTCTTATTCCTGTCTTATAGTTCTTGTCATTGAAAAACTGGACTCTACAACTGGTAAGTGAGCAATTATAGTTAGCATTCCTGGATCTCTTTCTTCCTAAATTAAAGTTTAGTTTAATATTAGTATCTTATTTTACAAATTTTAGTTAAATATACATCTTCCTTTTCAGATTCTCCTATTTTCACTTAACTAAAAATGCCGTTAAATTATTTAAGACAGACACATATTCCATATCTGGCTGCATAATCCATAGATCTAGTTAAAAGACTTTTTAAAGTCACTCTTACATCATATTTAGGACATTGAACAAAGCAACAAATCTGTTGAGTTCCAATTATTTGATTGTTTGAGTGATTGGTTGACTTTTTAAAAAAAATTCTGTCTGCAATCAATATTCATAAGAATGGAATAGGAATTTGGATTAGTGATAACAGACAGTAGGGCACAGAGATGCAGGAAGGTAATGCAGATATGGTTGAATAATCCAGGGCCACATTCACCCGGAGAATGTGCATATGTGCTTGTTTATGACTACTTTAGGCCGGGCGCAGTGGCTCACGCCTATAATCCCAGCACTTTGGGAGGCCGAGGCGGGTGCATCACAAGGTCAGGCGATCAAGACCATCCTGGCTAACACAGTGAAACCCCGTCTCTACTAAAAAAAAATACAAAAAAATCAACCAGGCGCAGTGGTGGGCGCCTGTAGTCCCAGCTACTCAGGAGGCTGAGGCAGGAGAATGGCATGAACCTGGGAGGCAGAGCTTGCAGTGAGCTGAGATCGCGCCACTGCACTCCAGCCTGGGCAACAGAGGGAGACTCCGTCTCAAAAAAAAAAAAAGACTACTTTAATAGTGGTGGTTACTATATTATAATTTAACCTTAATATCAAGGAATACACATTTAGTAGAGTGATAGAGGTACAATTCAACAAATACTGAGTACTTATGTGCCTACTACTGTTCTAGATTCTGTGAAGGAATTAAAAAATATATGATGTAATGTAAGCCTGCTCCAAATGTAAAAATTCTTATGTCCATTTCCTGGATATTGTACTAGCCAGAGGTTATTTTATCAGCTCTTGATTGACTTATTCATTCAAAAGAAATTTAGGTAAATGTGTTTGAAAGAATTCATTAAAAATATAATATTACATTTATAATAGATTTTTTTTTTAACTTAGAAACAACAGTCGCTGTTTTCAGAAGAAGAAGAATATACCACTGGATCTGAGGTCACTGAAGATGAAGTTGGAGATGAAGAAGAAGTATCCAAAAAACAAAGTATTGGTTTATAAGTTAAAATCAAATCTCACTGTTTATGAAGGGGTTACATTCTGAAGCCTTTAATGCAAGGGACAGGGAATTAGTTTTATATATATAGTAGGTTCCAACGTAGGAAAAAAAACATTAGAAAGGAGACACCATCAAGATTTCCTAACCTGGGCATGAACACAGAATACTCAAAGCTATAAAGAAAGGGCAGTACACTGAGAAAGAACTCCAGGTTTTCACTTCAGGTGCAACTAAATGTGTGACTCATGTCAGATGAAATGTGATCTGAGATGTGTACCTGAGATGATTTGGAGTGATACTCAAATGAACCATTAAATAACATTCATAAATGTATGATTTTTTTAGTGGAAAGCATGTTTTGTTTTTTGTTTGTGTTTTTTTTTTTTTTTTTTTTGAGACTGAGTCTCACTCTGTCACAGTGGCACAATCTTGGCTCACTGCAATCTCTGCTTCCTGAGTTCAGGCAATTCTCCTGCCTCAGTCTCCTGAGTAGCTGGGGCTACAGATGCATGCCACCACACCCAGCTAATTTTTTTGCATTTTTAATAGAGACAGAGTTTCACAATGTTGGTCAGGCTGGTCTTGAACTCCTGACCTCAGATGATCCACCTGCCTCGGCCTCCCAGAGTGCTGGGATTACAGGCGTGAGCCACTGTGCCTGGCCGAAAGCATGATTATTATACAACTATAAAATTAACTTGTGTCAAAATTTCTCAACTCATTAGTTCCAAGAAACAGCAAGGAAAATTAGTTCAAAGAACCTTTGAAGACTCAAGTATTTATAGGCAATTATGAATCCATTTTGTTACAATAATTTACCTCTTTTAGGATTTCATATGAGTGGAATCATGAGTAATCTTTTGTCTCTGGCTTCTTTCACTTAGTATAAGGTTTTTGAGATTCATTCATATTGTTTATTCCTTTTTATTGCAGTGTAGTATTCCATTATACTACTTTTGAAAAAAGAATGTTGGTCTGGGCGCGGTGGCTCATACCTGTAATCCCAGCACTTTGGGAGGCTGAGGCAGGCAGATCACCTAAGGTCAGGAGTTCAAGACCAGCCTGGCCAACATGGTGAAACCCCATCGCTACTAAAAATGCAAAAATTAGGCTGGGCGTGGTGACTCATGCCTGTAATCTCAGCACTTTGGAAGGCTGAGGCAGGCAGATCACCTGAGGTCAGGAGCTCAAGACCAGCCTCTCCAACATGGTGAAACCCCATCTCTACAAAAATACAAAAATTAGCCGAGCATAATGACAAGTGCCTGTAATCCCAGCTAATGGGGAGGTTAAGGTGGGAGAATTGCTTGAACCCGCAAGGTGGAGGTTGCAGTGAGCCGAGATCATGCCATTGCACTCCAGCCTGGGTGACACAGCAAGACTCTCAAAAAAAAAAAAAAAAAAATACAAAAATTAGCTGGATGTGGTGGCAGGTGCCTGTAATCCCAGCTACTCAGGAGGCTGAGGCAGGAGAATCACTTGAACCCAGGAAGGGGAGGTTGCAGTGAGCCAAGACCATCCCATTGCACTCCAGCCTGGGCAACCGGAGCGAAATTCCATCTGAAAAAAAAAAATTTAAAAGAAGATTGTAAGTTAGATACAAAATTGATCAGTGTCATACAACTTAGTGAACCCATAACTCTTAGGTTATCTTTTTAGAAATCATTTGCATTTTTATTAGACACAAAAACCTGAAAGTTAACATGTAACTTTCAGATGCCATCAGTAGATGGTAGTCAGACGTGGTACATTCTCTTAGAGAATTAAATGATTCTTGAGTAGGCATGTTAAACAGCCCTCCAATGACATTGAAAAAACATGCTGCCTTCCCTTTATCTTCTCTCCAAGTTTTACATAATTTTTCTTTACATTTTGAATCCTCCAATGAAAAAGCTGGTTCTTTAGCAATTTTGTGTCAATTTTAATTAGTAAAGGAGAAAGTTCTACTAGGTTTTTTCTTCAACAGTTTGAGGTGTAAGTTATATGTTGCAAAAATCACCCATTTTAAGTGTACATGTAGATGAGTTTTGGCACACAGATGTGTAACCACCACCAAAATCAAAATCTAGAACATCATTTCAAAAAGTTCCTTCATCCCCCTTTGTACTCAGTTCCCTTTCTTCAGTTCTGCCCTTAGGCAACCATGAATCTGTTTTGTCAAAATAATTTTCCTTTTTAAGAGTTTCATATGAATGGAATCGTGAGTAATTTTTTGTCTCTGGCTTCTTTCGCTTAGTATGAGGTTTTTGAGATTCATCCATGTTATTGCATGTGTCAGTAGTTTAGTCCGTTTTATTGCAGAGTAATATTCCATTATATGGATATACCATACTTTGTTTATCCATTCGCAATTTCATGGACATATGGGTTGTTCCCTCTTGTTGGCTGTTGTGAATAATGCTGCTATGAACATTTGCATACAAGTCTATATGGACATGTGTTTTCATTTTTCTTGGGTAGGTACTTAGGAGTAAAATTACTAGATCATATGGTAAGTGTATGTTTCGCTTTATAAGAAACTGCGAAATTGTTTTGCAAAGTGACTGTTTTGCATCTCCACGAGCAGTGGAGCATTCCCACCACTGTGTGTTCCCACTAGCAGTGTCTGAGAGTTCTAGTTGCTGCACATTCACATTAATACTTGGTATTACTGGTCTTTTTAATTTTGGCCATTCTAGTGGGCATCTAGTGAATAAGCATCTTTTCATGTTTTTATTGACCATTTATATATCTTTTTAATGAAGTGTTTGTTTAAATCTTTGGCCCATTTTTATTGAATCCTTTGCCTTATTATTGAGTTGTAAGATTTCTTTATATATACTTTAGATCTAAATCTTTTTTGTCAGTCATATGTTTCTCAATATTTCCCCTAGTCTATGCCTTGCCTTTTAATTTTTTTTTTTTTTTTTTTTTTGAGATAGTGTCTTGTTCTGTCATCCAGACTGGAGTGTAGAGGTACGATCTCTCACTGCAACCTCTGCCTCCTGGGTTCCAGCGATTCTTCTGCCTCAGCCACCTGAGTAGCTGGGATTACAGGTGTGCACCACCACACTGGACTACTTTTTGTATTTTTAGTAGAGATGGGGTTTTGCCATGTTGGCCAAGCTGGTCTCGAACTCCTGATCTCAGAGGATCTGCCTGTCTCGGCCTCCCAAGTGCTAGGATTACAGGCATGAGCCACTGCACCAGACCTAATTTTCTTAATGATGTCTTTTGAAGAGCTTAACTTTTAAATTTTGTGAATTCTAATATTTTAGTTTTTCCTTTTTATGTTCCATTATTTAATAGCTAAGAAGTATTTGCCTACCCCAAAGTCACAAAGATTTTCTGCTGCTTTCTTCTAGAAGTTGTATGATTTTAGCTTTTTATTTAAGATTATGATCCCATTCAGGTTAATTTTTGTTTATTGTATGACTTAAGGGTCAAGCTTCCTTTTTTTCCATAGGCATAGCTGGTTGTTCCAGCGCCGTTTATTGAAAAGACTATTCTTTTCTAATATATTGGAATACCTTGGCATCTCTGTTAAAAATCAGTTGACTGTTTACATTTCCAAACTATCTGTTTTCTTCCATTGATTCTTATGTCTTTCTTTACATCAGCATATCAATACCACACTATTAATTTTTGTAGATTTTAGTGAGTCTTGAAACCTGGTGGTGGGAGTCCTCCAAAATTGTTCTTTAATTTTAAATTATTTTGGCCTTTCAAGGTGCTTTGCATTTTCTACAAATTTTAGAGTCTGTGTGGATATTTCTACAAATATCTTTTTGGGATTTTTGTTGGGATTATGTTGAACCCATATCCAATTTGGGGTGAATTCCTTTTTTTTCTAATGGCAGTTTTTCCCATCCATGAACATGGAATATCTCTCCATTTATTTAGGACTTTTTTAATGTCTCTCAACAATGTTTGTAGTTTCAGTGTACAGGTGTTGAAATCTTTTGTTAAATTTATTCCTCCCTATTTTTATGCTATTATAAATGGAATTGTTTTTCTGGTTGCTCATTGATTGTAATACTAATGATGGTCAAAATACAATTGATGTTTGTATATTGACTGTGTGCTATGACCTTGCTAAATTCAGTTATTTGTTCTTCATTTATTAGATTTCATTCCAACCTGTATACCTTTTATTTACATGTCTTGCCTTTTGTGCTGGTTAGGACCTGATATTGAATAGAAGTGGTGAAAAGAGACAGACCTCCTTACCTTGTCTTATGGGGAAAACATCCAGTCTTTAATCATTAAGTATGTAATGTTAGTTTTCGGCTTCCCATAAATGTCGTTTCTCAGTTGAGAACGTTCCTTTCTGTTTCTCTTTTGCTGAGTTTTTATAGCGAATAGGTGTTGCCTTTTGTCAAATGCTTTTTCTCCATCTATTGAGAAGATCATATAGATGTTCTCCTTTATTGTATCAATTAGGTACATTAATTGATTTTTCACATGTTACACCAGTATTCTGGTGTACTAGAGTCATAATGACATTAGAAAATGAGTGACATCACCCCTCTTTTCTGGAAGAGTTTGTATAGGACTTGTGTTGTTTCTCCCTTAAAAGAATAATAAAATTCAGCAGTGAAGCCATATGGGCCTGGAGCTTTTGTTATAGGAAGGCTTTAAATTATGAATTCAGTTTAATTAGTTAATAGATGCTATTCAGGTTTTCTATTGCCTCTTCAATTTGTTTTGATAATTTCTGTCTTTCAAGGAATTTTATCCAATTTGTCAGATTTATTGGCATAAAGTCACTCATAGTCTTTTTTTTTTTTTGAGACAGAATCTCACTGTATCACCAGGCTGAAATGGCACAATCTCGGCTCACTGCAACTTCTACCTCCTGGGTTCAAGCGATTCTTGTGCCTTAGTCTCCCGAGTAGCTAGGATTACAGGCACACACCACCATACTTGGCTAATTTTTATACTTTTAGTATAAATGTAAATGTGCCTAATTATAAAGCCCTAAAATATACAAAGCAAAAACTGACAAATCTGTAAGGAAAAATACACAGATTACCACTTATAGCTAGAGATTTCAATACCTTTTTCTTACAGCTACTTGGGAGGCCAAGGCATGAGAATCGCTTAAACCTGCAAAGCAGAGATTGCAGTGAGCCGAGATCATGCCACTGTGCTCCAGCATGAGTGACAGAGCAAGACTCAAAAAAAAAAAAAAAAAGAAAATGAAAATGAACCGCTGTAAAGCAATTTCAGCTTTGCTTCATGGTGTATTTGCTTTTTACCCAGAAGTTAATTTGTTAGTTTTCTTAAAACAATGTTTTTCTTAATGGTCTTATTGTTTAGAAGTAACAAGTAGACTGGAAAGGTATATGGGGCCTAAGTTTATAACATTGACCTCTCATTATCAGGGAAAAAGGAGAAGCCAAAGAAGTTCACTAGACAACCAAAAAAGCAGGTATCTTCACCCTGTGCTCAGAGGAAAGAAAAGGCATTGGAGAAGGTAATTCTGAATTATCTGTTGTTATTTTAAAGTTCATGTGGAAAAATAAACACGTGACTATAGCCAGCAAAAAATAAAAAGTTAAGAGTAATGAAGACACATGGAATGCTAGCAATGTAAAAATGAAGTTTTTTATAGACTGAGATTAAAGATCTCTAAGATATATTGACAAATGAGAAAAGGAAGGTGCAGAAATGTATAGTGATATAGTATGCTACCATTTGTGTAAAGTAGATGGGGGAAAAATATAAATGAACTTCCTTGTATATGCATAAAATGTCTCTGGAAGGCTACATAAGAACTTGATAAAATTGGTTGCCTCTTAGGAAGGGAACTGAATGTATAAGGGACAGAAGTGAGAGTCTTTTATTGTATGTGCTATTTATACCTTTTGAAGTTTAAACCAATATTACTTATTCAAAAAATTAAAAATAGGCTGTTAAATTAAAAATAAATTATATTTTATGACATTTAAAAATAATTCTTATTTCTCCATGCCTTTGAAGGAAGGGGTAAAAAAGCCAGACAGGAATAAGAGAATAGTAATAACCACAATTGACTAAAAGAAAAACTGTGAATTTCAAAAATGTGTGTTAGGTTAAGGCTGGGTTAAGATCCACAGAGTTACATTGGACACATTGTACGTTCATCTTTGTGTTAAGTGTCACAGGCATATGAGTGGGTTAATTCTAAAAAAATTGTATCAGCTGGCTGGGCATGATGGCTCATGCCTGTAATCCTAGCACTTTGGGAGGTCAAGGTAGGTGGATTGCTTGAGCCCAAGAGTTTGAGACCAGCCTGGGCAAAACCCCATTTCTACAAAAAAACAAAAAACAAAAATTAGCGAAGCATGGTGGCGCATACCTGTAGTCCCAACTACTCAGGAGGCTGAGGGGGAGGATCACTTGAGACCAGGAAGTCGAGGCTGTAGTGAGCTATAATCATGCCACTGCACTCCAGCCTGGGCAACAGAGTGAGACCCTGTCTCCAAAAAAAAGAAATTGCATAAGCTGGGATTCCAAGGTTAACAAATGAAGCTGGATTCAAATTCTAGGTCTGTATCTCTTTGGAGAAGTTTCTTAACTTCCCTGAACCTCTTTTATTATGAAGATATTAACAGTGCCTGTCTCATGTGGTTGGTGCAAGGTTTAAATGAAATAGCACTTGTAATGCTCTTGGTACAGTGTCTTCACACTCAGTAAGAGTGAACTCTTTTTATTACTAACTATAGCGCTAATCAGTAAACATGTTCTAATTGGGCCTCAATGTTGTCTACTTTTTTTTAGTCAGCTTCTAGAGATGTGTCTCCTTTCGTGTGAGTATTGCTCCTTAATCCAATCGGATATCCACTCTTAAAGAAGCATCAATGCTGATTTTTGTTCAATTTTTTCAATAGTGTGAGTATGCAGAAGAATAAGTGGGATGCCACAAGATCCTTGAGATTCAACCAGGATGCACAGAGAGAAGATGGTAAATTTTATTATTTGGGTAATGTACAAATTGGATGTAAATAGCAATGATTAGTGTGTCTTTCAGTTTATAAAGTATGCAGAATAGCTCTAGAGGTTCTAACTAAAGTAAGGCCCAAAATTTACATATTCCCTTAGGCAACAACCAGAGTTTCATTACTACACAACCCCACCAAATAATGTATTATTTTATGCATCTGTGGTTTTGAGATCACTCACATTGACTTTTGCCCATTACGTTCACCATAAAGGTGACTGAATATGTTTTAGGCTGTTTTATGGTAATCTAAAAAGCAGCACAATTATCCACAAATGAGTCATTTGCCACTTGCTAACTTAAATTCTTCACAAATAGATGTATGTGTCTGTAAAATAGTATCAAAAGATATTTTCATAAACCCTTGGTGATTACAGTCTTTTTTGAGAAATAAAAAGTTATATATCATCCTTACAAAAAGTAAAGTTTACTGTTTTTTTCCCTTCAGATCAGCGGCGAATGTCTGAAATTACAGGGCATCTAATAAAAATGAGATTGGGGGATCTGGACCGAGTCAAGTCAAAGGAAGCAAAAGAAGTAAGAATTGTGTACTAGTATATTGTACTTGTGTAAAATATGCCTTCCTACTTTTATTTTCAGCTTAGGATTATAAAGATGTTTTAGGCAGAATTTTAAAAGAGTAATTTATGTGTTTTTGTTTTTGTTTTTCCTTTGAGATGGAGTTTCAGTCTTGTTGCCCAGGCTGGAATGCAGTGGTGCAATCTTGGCTCACTGCAACCTTCGCCTCCCGGGTTCAAGCAATTCTCCTGCCTCACCCTCCCAAATAGCTGGGTTACAGGCCTGCGCTACCATGCCCAGCTGATTTTTTTGTATTTAGTAGAGATGGGGTTTCACCGTGTTGGTCAGGCTGGTCTCAAACTCCTGACCTCAGGTGATCCACCTGCTTTGGCCTCCCAAAGTGCTCGGATTACAGGCATGAGCCACCGCACCTGGCCAAATATATGTGTTTTTGTTTGTTTGTTTGTTTGAGACGGAGTCTCGCTCACTGAGACTTGCAGTGGCACCATCTGGGCTCACTGCAACCTCTACCTTCCAGGTTCAAGTGATTCTCCTGCCTCAGCCTCCCAAGTAGCTGGGACTACAGGCGTGCACCACCATGCCCAGATAATTTTTTCATTTTTAGTAGAGACGGGGTCTCACCATGTTGGCCAGGCTGGTCTTGAGCTTTTGACTTCATGATCCACCCACCTCAGCCTCCTAAAGTGCTGGGATTACAGGCGTGAGCCATCATGCCTAGCCACAATTATGTATTTTTTAATATTCTGTACCAGTTAGCCAGCTTATTCACGTAAAGGTTTCCCACCATGTCTTATTATCCATGGTCCACAGGTCATCTATAACACATATAATAAAATACATCATTGCTGAAAATGTGTCATCACACCAAGAGTAGGTTAACTGTGCATTGTTGACCAAATGCTAACTCCTGAGGGCGACTGTCTGAAAGTACCAATTTTCATCAACTCTGCATGTGGTGCTTAGATGTCATCTCTAAAATAAGATGTTTTCTTGCTGAAAATGGTGACAAGAAACACCTATATTCTTGCTAGAATTACATTTTAGTCATGACATTATGTATTATCATTAGTATTGGTATTATGTAAGTACCATACTCTTGCCCTAATTCTTGTATTTAAAAATTTACTTCCCTATAAAACTGCTAAAAGGAAACATAGGAGAAAATCTTCGTGACCTTAGGAAAATATTTCCTGGCCTACAGTACCAAAAGCATGATCCATAAATGAAAAATTGGACTTCATCAGCATTTAAAATTTCTACTTTTCAAAAGATAATATTTAAACAATGAAAAGACAAGCCATAAACTATGAGAAAATATGTGTAAAACACCTGATAAGGGATGTGTATCCAGAATCTATAAAGAACTCTCAAAACTCAATAATAAAATTTAAAAACCTAATAAAAATAAATGGGCAAAAGAGTAAACAGACACTATGAAAAAAAGGATTTCCATGCCAAATAAGCAACATCATTAGTCCTTAGGAAAATGTAAATTAAAACCTAAATGAGGCCAGATACAGTGGCTCACACCTGTAATCCCAGCACTTTGGGAGGCCAAGGTAGAAGGATCACTTGAACCCCGGAGTTTGAGACCAGCCTGGGCAACATGATGAAACCCTATCTCTACACAAAAATTACAAAAATTAGCCGGGTGTGGTGATGGATGCCTGTAGTCCCAGCTACTTGCGAGGATGAAGTAGGAGGATCACTTGAGCCTGGGAGGCAGAAGTTGCAATGAGCCAAGAGCACACCACTACACTCCTGCCTGGGCAACAGAACAAGACCCTGTCTCCAAAGGAAAAATCCCATACCAAGTGCTGATGAGGATGTGGAGCAACTGGAACTCTCATGTATAGCTAGTAGAAATGCAAAAAGGAATGGTCAATTCACACATTTTTATAATAGTTTTATTCATAATTGCTAAAAACTAGAAATACTATAAATGATGTCCTTTACCTGGCAAATGGGAAAACAAACTGTGCATATAAAAAGAACATTGGACTGGGTGCAGTGACTCAGACCTGTTATCCCAGCAGTTTGAGAGGCCAAGGTGGGCAGATCACAAGGTCAAGAGATTGAGACCATCCTGGCCAACATGGTGAAACCTCGTCTCTACTAAAAGTACAAAACTTAGCTGGGTGTGGTAGTGCAGGCCTGTAATCCCAGCTACTCAGGAGGCTGAGGGAAGAGAATCACTTGAACCAGGGAGGCGGAGGTTGCAGTGAGCCAAGATCGTGCACTGCACTCTAACGTGGACAACAGAGTGAGACTGCATCTCAAAAAAAAAAAAAAAAAAAAGAACATTGAGCCCAGGAATTCAAGACCAGCCTGGGCAAAATAGGGAGACCCTGTTTCTACAAAAAATAAGAAATTAGTTGGGCATGGTGGTGCACACCTGTGGTCCCAGCTCCTCTGGTGGCTGAGGTAGGCGGATCACCCAGGAGGTCAGGGCTGCAGTAAACCTTGATCACACCACTGCACTCCAGCCTGGCTGACAGAGTGAGATGCTGTCTCCAAAAAAAAAGGAACAAATTTCTGATGTACACATCAATATGGATGAATCTCCTATACGTGAAAGAAGCTAGGTTCAAATGGCTACATGCTATATGATTCTACTTATATAATGTTCTGGAAAATGCAAAACTATAAGGATAGAAAACAGACAAATGGTTGCCAGAAATTGGTAGTGGTAGGTAGATTGACTTGACAGGGGAACAAGGGAATTTTCTTTGGGGTGATAGGACTATTTTCTGTGTCTTCATTGTGACAGTAGTTATAAAACTGTATGCATTTGTCAAAACCCACACCTGTACACTAAAATGGTACATTTTTCTTTATGTAAATTGAACCTCAAAAAGACTGGATTTAAAAAATCAAAATAAAATTACTTCTAAATTAAAAAGTAATCCCATTTTAATAAAGCAGAGCTTCTATTGATTCTGTGAAGATAACAGTATTGCTTCTTTATTCTGCAGTTTGCGGGAGGTATTTATTCCAGGTTGGAAGCACAAATCAAGGCCTCGTTGCCAGTCAGTGCACGCCAAAGCAGCTCGGAGAAAAACACAAGGTAAATCAGCATAAACTAAACTGGAGTGTCACTGGCTTTGAAGTGAATTTTTTTTTTAAGATAAATCATATGAACACTAGAAACATATAATTTGAGTTTGGTTTTATGTTTTGTTTCAGTGATTATATTATCAAGGCACTAATTAGAATCAGATTTTAACTTAAAAGATAAAATCTAATGAAAGTATAGCTTTGTGGAATTTTTAAAGTTTTCTGCTTATTGGACTAGCTTCATTCTGAACCAACTCCTGATAAAAATATAAGCTATAGTGCTTCTGTGAAGTAGCAGAATTTTTGTACTGTTTGTAGATCACATATTAATACTTTGTATAAATCACTGTAATCTTTACCATTCCTTGCTTTATATTTTATTTCTCGTAATAAAATCTAACTGGTGGGTCTTGTGTCATTTTACATCACAAGTTTTCTGTTAGAGATGAACAGTTACTGAGATTTGAACATTAATATTACAGATTCTAATTCCTTGTCTATAATTCTGAAATGCAGAAAGTTCAAAAAGCTAAAAGTTGTTTTCATACATTTGTAGCAATTCAAACTTGCACTGAGCTGCTGTGATACCATTTATATTTTTTATTCATCCCACTTACATTTGATTATGGGGCACTGCTCCAGATCCATTATATACAATGTACATAATATATTATCTCTGAGAAAGAACAAATCTGAATTCCAAAAATACATCTCCCTTTAAGAGTTTTAGAAGGTGGATTACAGAGCTGCAAGAAGATTTATTAAACCATGATGTTGCCAAGTCAGCATAATCTAAAGGAGCACCAACTTTCTATTGTTTTAGAAGCAACTCTGACCTCCTTTTCTGTTTAAAAAATCTAGGTCTAAAAGTCGTTTTGGTCAAGGGCGTCCTGCATAAAGCACCTTAAAATATAAGTAAAAAGAGAGAAGGCACACTCCTGGACATCTGAAATTGCTCACTTCTTGAAGATCTTCAGAACAATGACTTCCAACTGTTTTATGTTATTATTATTTTAATCCACATAAATCATAATGCTAAAAGAAACATATAGTTAGGTTTTATGAAAATCTAATTGTAAATATGAAACTTTTTAAATCTGATTTTCTTTTAGTATGATTCTAGGCTATGTAGAGAGCAATTATTTACAAATCTGCATAGTTGAGATGCCCAGTGTTTTCCTTTATTTATTTGAAAAAGAAGAGGCCTAAACTGTCAGGTAGCTAAGTTTTTTTAAGACCTTAAAAGTTAGGGGAACACAACTGGTAGTGTTACCATGCATGTGTGCTGATTGTAGTATGTCTTTGGAGCTGTAAATCTTGAGATAGCATTAAGAACTGCAGTTTGTGTGATGAAATTCCCAATGATGCTAATTTTAAGTCTGCATGAATGTTAAGGAGTGACAGGTCTCAAGACTGCATTAGATAAAGTTTCAGGGTAAGGTATTTCAGTACTGTGTTGGGCAGAAGGGTTAATTTTTTTCAGCATTATATCATGGAAAGTACGATGTTAATCCAAGTTTTTTTTTCTTTCAGTTTTTAATGCTTTTCTATTGATCATCTGAGCTGGAATTACTGATTATTACCTCTGTCCTCTGTGAAACTAGTGGCATTCTGAATTTGGTAAAATAACCATTGATAGTTTTAGGATAGTAAATCATTTCTGTTGTATGAGACACCCACTATACAGTTCTCAGGGCTCTAAAACCCAACCATATTTCTATAACCATTCAAATAACTACTTAAAACAGTTATACTTGCTAGTTCGAGATGTCTAAAATTTTCCAAATACAATAGATGGGTGAAAATTTGCATATATTCAAGAAAAATCAAAATAAAATTCTATTTTGTAAATCATGTTTAAATTTTTCTAACCAGGAAGAAAGAGTGCTCAGGGAAAATATGTTCCAAACTATAATCATATAATAAATTATGTGTTTGTAAATTATATGTAGGTCTCTGAAAAACTTTAAGATGCACTGTTTCTATTTTTTTAAGTCTTAATTTGCCTTATAATTGACATTTCTTCAGATTATTCAGAGAACAGACTTTAATGTGTGACAAAAGAGCAATTTCCATTGAAATGTTGAAGTGTTACACTCAGTTTACACGTACAGAAATCATTCTTTTTAGTGAGTCTTTTAGTTGATAAATGAAGCTAGATGTTATTTGATAACCTTGGCTTTGCCAAGGTTTTTGAACTGCTGCTTGGAAATTTTGTTCCAGTTTATATTTGTTTCGATTGTTTGATACTGTGGAAATAGACTTTTATTTTCTAAAGAAAATGTCTTGTAGTACATATTATATGTAAGTACTCTGTTAAACACCAGAGTTTTTTTGTAGCTTACTGTGTTTTCTGTTAAAAGGATTTGGGTTTGTACATGTAAACAGTGCTGTAATGGTCACTAGATAAGGAAAAAATACATATGCTCTTTCAATTTTTAACTGATGGTAAAAAGGCAAACTGCTTCTCCCCTGGGGGAACTGTACTACTGAATTGATTTTACAAACCAGAGTTTATCAGAATTTGATTCTCTTCAGAATGCTTTTGGCCAGGTGCAGTGGCTCATGCCAGTAATCCCAGCACTTTGGGAGGCCGAGGCGGGCGGATCACCTGAGGTCAGGACTTTGAGACCAGCCTGGCCAACATGGCGAAACCCCATCTCTACTAAAAATACAAAAAGATTAGCAGGGCGTGGTGGCACACACCTATAGTCCCAGCTACTCAGGAGGCTGAGGCACAAGAATTGTTTGAACCCGGGCGGCAGAGGTTGCAGTGAGCCGAGATCATGCCGCTGCTCTCCTGGCCTGGGTGACAGAGTGAGACTCCATTTCAATTAAAAAAAAAAAAGAATGTGTTTTTTATTTTGTTAATGTTGGTCTGTTATACATAGGACAGGTACCACAAACATTTTACTTAAACTCTTAATAGCATTTCTTTTGCCAGATACTTCAATATTTCACCTTACATTAATCCTGGATTCACATTTCTTTAATCGAAATAAATGTTAATGACAAAAGTTGTTTGGAAAGTCTATTTATCTGAATTATTCCATCTTCTCAGAAAAAAAGTCCAGAGTGGCTCTAGATTCCACAAGTTTTCATGGAAAGTTATTTCTGCTACAAGATGAAGTTTTTAAGTTTTAAGATTATTTTAGGCCAGGCACAGTGACTCACCTTTGCAATCCCAGCACTTTTGGAGGCCAAGGCAGGAGGATTGCTTGAGCCCAGGAGTTCAAGATCGGCCTAGGTAACATAGTGAGACCTCGTCTCTACAAAAATAAAAATTAAAAAAATTAACCTGGCATGGTGGCATGCACCTGTGGTCCCAGGTATTAGGGAGGCTGAGGTGGAAGAAATGCTTGAACCTGGGAGTTCAAGGCTTCAGTGAGCCATGATTGTGCCACTGCACTCCAACCTGGGCAACAGAGCAAGACCCTGTCTCAAAAAAAAAAAAAAAAAAAAAGATTATTTTAAATGAGGTTATGCTGGTAAAGATTTACCAAACATTTAAGGGATAAAATACTTCAGAAAAGATGATCTGATAACAATGCTGATTGTACACGATTGCATTTATTTGTTACTTTCCTTCACAATACTCAGCCAGCTACAGTGAGATGTGCTTATTGCTTTGGAAGCTGAGGCTGAAACTCTGTCAAGCTCGTCTACTAAAGGCACGTTATAATATAAAAACAAACCAAAAAAATAGATTTTGTCTTTAATTCCTGGAATTCTGCAGCCAACTTTCAGCTATTCACTGAGCAACTATGTCACACCTCCCAGGACTGGGATACCTATCCAGTTTAATTCTAATAGGCTAACTCTCTGTCTCTTATTTAAAGCTGATCTATTGGGGAAGATGGTACAAGAATAATATTATTCCACCCTTTTAAGATTTGGGGGCAATTAAATGAGTTAATAGATCTAAAACAACTAGCACAGTACTTTCTGGCCTATGTGTATGTGTGTGCGTGTATGTATTTAGTGCAAGAAGGGAGGCACCTAATACTTTCGTGGTTTCTATGGCATCATTTGAGATTTAAAAGAAAATCATATTAAATGTCTTATCTTATTTAGGCAAAGTAAGTGGCATTCGTAGAAAGAGCTAGGTAAAGAATACTGTTTCCTGATACGTGGTAGGGAAGTATGTGGTAGGGAGCTATGCTGTTTTCAAAGAGGCTTCAACTGAAGGACAGTAAGTGAAGGCCATAGCAAAGTCTAATAGCAGCTCTCTTTCTAGGATGTATCTTTCCTTGAGAAAATATAGCCAGTTTGGTTCTTACTATTTGTTTATGAACACAGCCAATTCTTAGCAAACTGAAGGTGATGGTCCTAGTAGTTGCTATTTGTTGAATGCTTTGGATATGCTGAAGATCATCCTCCTGATATATTCCTTATCTTCTTTAACCTCACAACCCCACCACACAAAAAATTGAGCATTATCACATTTTACAGGTGGAAAAGAATGTTCAGCGAGGCAAAGTAAACTACATACTGGGGTTGGAACCTGGGCTTATCAATACATTCCAACACTTTCTTGAAATAGTTTTCCCTTGGGTTGCCTGAAAATTTTCTCTTAGAGGCCTCCTGCCTCACTGGCAGCTTCTTCAGACTGAAAGCAGGTGACTGCAGCACGCTTTCTGTAGTTCCAGACTTGTTTATTCAACTGTCTGCTTAACATTTGTACTTGGAGTACCAGTAGGTATCTCCAACTTAATTAACATAATCAAAACAGAACTTGTGATATCCCTTCCCATTCCTGCCCCCAAACTCCCTGCTTATTCAAACCCATTCTTTTCCAGTTCAGTAAATGGCATTATTGCCTACCAAAGTGCACAAGGCAAATATCTAGAACGTATTCCTTACTCTTCTCTTTTCTTCACACCTGACATTCAATTTATCAGCTAGTCCCATACATACTGCACATCCATTTGCTTCTCTCTATCTCCACTATCACCACCCCCAGTTATTAACATCTTTTGCATGAAGTGCTACAAATGCCTCGTAAGTAATTCCCCAGCTTCCATTTCAACCTCTGTATAACTTGTTGTGCACAAAACAACTTTCGTGATTTTTCAGTGTGACTCAGATCACATCACTCCCCTGCTTAACACTAATAGCATCCCATCAAACCTAGAATAAAATCCAACCTTCGGGCTGGACGCAGCTGCTCACGCCTATAATCCCAGCACTTTGGGAGGCCAAGATGGGCAGATCACTTGAGGTCAGGAGTTTGAGACCAGCCTGACCAACATGGCAAAACTCCATCTCTACTAAAAAATAGAAAAATTAGCTGGAAATGGTGGTGGGTGCTTGCAATCCCAACTACTCAGGAGGCTGCAGCAGGAGAATTCCTTGAACCCGGGAGGTGGAGGTTGCCGTGACCTGAGATCGTGCCACTGTCTCAAAAAAAAAAAAAAAAAAAAATCCCAACCTACACTAGTCCTACATGGCCTAGCCCCTGGCTGCCTCTCAGACTTCATTTTCCCTCCTAATTACTACGCTGGAATGTAGTAAGTCATTCCCACCTTTCCATTCCTTGACATTAGCCATTCCCGCTGTCTAGAAGGCTGTTATAATTCAGGTTTTAGTTTAGATGTTACTTCCTCACAGGAGGTATTTCCTATGTGCTTAGTATAAAATATCCATCCAAGTCACTCTCATTACCTCATAGTTTATTTCTGTGCATACCTGACATTATTACTCTGATACTTTCCTTCCTTTATTTGTTGGTTTTGCAATCTGTATCCCGTGATAAAATGTGAACACCAGAACAGAGACCTGGTCTTCTTGACTACTGCTATGTCCCCAGTGCCTAGAACAGTGATTGGAGTAGCTGGCACCAAAAACCTTTCCTCTGGAGTTCATGTTTTTGGGTGGTATCTCCAGGATCTGGACTGTCCTCAGCCTGGCATCATTGTAATCTGTATCTGTTGGAGTTGCAGCAGATAGAGGCCTTGTCACAAATACCTTGTCATGGGTTCTCAAGATCAGTCTGTCACCTATAGAAAGTTATACTAGATTAGTTTGATGTAGACATGAGTCCAGGTGAATTCTGCTGAAATCTGGGCAGCTTCAAGTTCTGAGCAGAATAGAAAGTTAAGTAAGCTGACCTGATGGCCACCCTTTTATCTCAACAGTATATTAAACATGAACACTTGGATAATAAGTAACCACTGCAGCATTTTATGGTGAAGATGCTATGGAATTATGAGCATCTCATAAGCTCACCAAAGTGATTAGGTAATTGTTTTCCATCCTTATATTTTCCCACCTTTTCCCCACTTTTTTCTTTGTCTAAAAATAAAATTATAAATGGAAAAAAAGAATGAAGAAAAATGAACAGAGCCTCAGAGAAATATGAGACATCATTAAGCTTGCTAACATACATCTAATGGAAGTTCCAAAAGGAGAGGAGCGAGAGAAAAGAAGAGAAAAAAAATATTTAAATAAATAGGGGCTGAAAACTTTCCAAATCTGATGGAAAACTTTACACATACAAGAAGCTCAACAAACTCTTAAGAGGTTAAATGCAAAGATATCCACAAACACACATTATAGTAAAAAATGGTCAAGGACAAAGAGAAAAGCTTGAAGAAGCAAGAGAAAAGTCCTTACTTATGGTTGGGTGCAGTGGCTCACACCTGTAATCCCAGCACTTTGGGAGGCCGAGGCGGGCAGATCACGAGGTCAGGAGATTGAAACCATCCTAGCTAACATGGTGAAACCCCATCTCTACTAAAACTACAAAAAATTAGCCGGACATGGTGGCATGCGCCTGTAGTCCCAGCTACTCGGGAGGTTTAGGCAGGAGAATTGCTTGAACCCAGGAGGTGGAGGTTGCAGTGAGCCAAGATCACACCACTGCACCCCAGCCTGGGTGACACAGCGAGACTCTGTCTCAAAGGAAAAAAAGAAAAATCCTTACTTACAAGAGAACCCCAATAAGATCAACAGCTGACTTCTCATCAGAGGCAGTGGAGAATAGAATGCAGTGGATAACAGCCCAGGCACAGTGGCTCAGGCCAAGGAGGGAGGATTGCCTGAAGCTAAGAGTTCAAGACCAGCCTGACCAACACAGGGAGACCTCTACAAATAATTGTTTGGGTTTTTTTTGTTTATTTGGTTTTGTTTTTTTGTTTTTTTGTTTTTTTTTTTTTTTAGATGGAGTTTTGCTCTTTTCACCCAGGCTGGAGTACAGTGGTGTGATTTCAGCTCACTGCAACCTCCGCCTCCCAGGTTCAAGTGATTCTCCTGCCTCAGCCTTCCAAGTAACTGGGATTACAGGCCACCACACCCAACTAATTTTTTTATATTTTTAGTAGAGATGGAGTTTCGCCGTGTTGGTCAGGCTAGTCTCGAACTCCTGACCTCAGGTGATCCATCCGCCTCGGCCTCCCAAAGTGCTGGGATTACAGGCGTGAGCCACCACACCCGGCCTTACAAATGAATTTTTTAAATAGCCAGACATAGTGGCACACACCTGTAATTCCAGCTACTTGGGAGGCTTAGGTGGGAGGATCACTTGAGCCCAGGAGTTGGAGGCTGCAGTGAGCTATGATCACACCACGGCACTCCAGCATGGGAGACAGAGGGAGATCCTGTCCTAAAATGAAGGAGAAGGAGAAGGCAGTGGGATAACATTCAAAGTGCTCAAAGAAAATCTGTCAACCAAAAATCCTACATTCAGCAAAAATTGTCTTTCAAATATGAAGACAAAATGAAGAGATTCCTAGATAAACAAAAATTGAGATAATTCATTGCTATCAGACCCACTGTACAAAAAATACTAAAAGAAAGTTATTTAGGCGGCCAGGCACGGTGACTCACACGTATAATCCCAGCACTTTGGGAAGCCAAGGCAGGTGGATCACCTGAGGTCAGGAGTTTGAGACCAGCCTGGCCAACATGATGAAACTGCATCTCTACTAAAAATACAAAAATTAGCTGGGTGTGGTGGCAGGCACCTGTAATCCCAGCTACTCAGGAGGCTGAGGCAAGAGAATCACTTGAACCTGGGGGGCGGAGGTTGCAGTGAACCGAGATCGTGGCATTGCACTCCAGCCTGGGCAACAACAGTGAAACTCCACCTCAAAAAAAAAAAAAAAAAAGTTATTGAGGCTGAAACAAGTGACTCTAGATACTAATACACAAAAGCATTAGTAAAGATGGCATGCGTATTTATTTTCTTAACTAATTTTAAAAAGCAATTGAATATGTATATAATTTTATTGTTGGGACTATACCAAAGAAATGTAATGTATTTGCCAGTAACAGCACAGAAGAGGTGGATGGGAGCAAAGCTATATTGGACTAAGGAAATGACTCCCAGTGGTAATACAGGAACAAATGAGGAGAACCAGAAATGAGAAATAAATTTGATACAATAAAAGCTATAAATATATATTTATAGGCCAATGCAACAAAAGCTGTAAGTATATTTTTTTCTCCATTTTCTTCCCTCAGCTTTTAAAAAGGTATAAAAGTAAAGTAATAATTATAGCAATATATGACTGGGTTTGTAACATATATAGAGATGTATAACAATACCACAAGAGGAAACAGGGAATGGAGCTATATACGAATAATGTTTCTATATCTCTTTGGAATTGTAAATGTGAAGCAGATTCTGATGTTAAGATGTATGTATGGTAAGCCCTGGAGCAACAACTGAGGAAACAATTCAAAAAATATATAGTAAAAAATCATTTAAAAATTAATGTTACATCAGAAAATATTTACTTAATACAAAAGAAAGGAAAAGAGGAATAAAGAAACAGAAAACATAGGAGGCATGGAGAAAGCAAAAAGTAAACCAGCAAAAGTAAATCCAGCTATATAAGTAATAGCATTAAATGTGAATATGTTATCCATCAAAAGGCAGAGAACATCAGACTAGATAAGAAAACAAAATCCCAACTAAACGCAGTATATGGGAGACAAACTTTAAATTCAAGGACACAGATGGATTAAAAGTAAAAGGATAAAAAATTATATAACATGCAAACAGCAACCATAAGCAGGAGTGGTTATACAAAATAGGCTTCAAAAAATTATTAGAAATAAAGAGGGACATTTTATAATAAAAGGGTCACTCCATCAGGAAGATACAACAATTATAACCATATGTGAACCAAAAAGCACCAAAATTCATAAAGTATAAACTGCCAGAACTGAAAGGGGAAATAACACAATTCAACAAGAATGGGCTTTCAATAATGGATAGACCAATAAGGCAGAAGATTGACATGGAAACAGATGACTTGAACAACACTATAAACCAACGAAACCAACAGACATCTATAGACCCTCCACTCACAACAGCAGAATATACATGTTTCTCCAGTGCATATGGAACATTCTCCTGGATAGACCATGTGCTAAGCCATAATACAAGACCCAATACATTTTAAAGGAAAGAAATAATGCAAAGTATGTTCTCTAACCACAAAGGAATTAAAAATAATATACGATAACCACAATAGAAATTAGAGGCTGGTGTGGTGGCACACATCAGTAATTGCAGCACTGAGAGGCCAAGTCTGGAGAATCACTTGAGCCCAGGAGTTTGGGACCAGTGTGGGCAACATGATGTGACCCCCATCTCTACAAAAATTTATTTTTAATTAGCCGGGTACAGTGGCACATGCCTGTAGTCCCAGCTACTCGGGAGGTTTAGGTGGGAGAATTGCTTGACTTAGGAGATCAAGGCTGCAGTGAGCCATGTTCAAACCACTGCACTCTAACGTGGGCAACAGAGCAAGACCCTGTCTCAAAAAAAGAAAGAGAAAGAACAAGGAAATCTGAGAAATCCACAGATATGTGGAAGTTAACATACTACTGAGTAACTAATGGGTGAAGGAAGAAATCACAAGGGAAATTAGGAAATACTTTGAGATAAATGAAAAGAAAGACAACATACCAAAACATATGGGATGTAGCTAAAGCAGTGCCTGGAGAGAAATTTGTAACTGTAAATGCTTAAATAAACAGGAGGAAATAATGTAGGATAAACAGGTTTAAAGATCTAATATACAGGCTCGAGCTGTAGGCATGCAGGGCTGGAGACGCTGCAGACCCACGACCCGGAGCAGCTCGGAGGTGGTGAATAATAGCTCTTCACGTCTGCAATAAAAAATGGCCTCCAATAAAACTACATTTCAAAAAATAGGAAAAAAACAATAGGAAGAGTAAAAAAGTTGAAGAGGCAGAGCCTGAAGAATTTGTGGTGGAAAAAGTACTAGATCAATGTGTAGTGAATGGGAAAGTGGAATATTTCCTGAAGTGGAAGGGATTTACAGATGCTGACAATACTTGGGAACCTGAAGAAAATTTAGATTGTCCAGAGTTGATTGAAGCATTTCTTAACTCTCAGAAAGCTGGCAAAGAAAAAGACAGTACAAAAAGAAAATCTTTATCTGATAGTGAATCTGATGACAGCAAATCAAAGAAGAAAAGAGATGCTGCTGACAAACCAAGAGGATTTGCCAGAGGTCTTGATCCTGAAAGAATAGTTGGTGCCACAGACAGCAGTGGAGAATTGATGTTTCTTATGAAATGGAAAGATTCAGATGAGGCAGACTTGGTGCTGGCGAAAGAGGCAAATATGAAGTGTCCTCAAATTGTAATTGCTTTTTATGAAGAGAGACTAACTTGGCATTCTTGTCCAGAAGATGAAGCTCAATAATTGTTCACATTGTTTTTTTATATATATTTATATATATATATAAAATTTGGGTCTTGGATTTTGATTTACTAGTGTGACGAAATAACTGCATCCTAATGAAAATCAAGTTTGATATGTTTGTTTTGAAAGTAGCATTGGAAGAGTTGTTGGGGGGTTTTTTGCATCCATAGCACTGGTTACTTTGAACAAATAAATAAAAGCTTTCTGTAGTTGCTTCCTTTATCAGAAAAGAACATTTGATACCATGGTATATTATTTCCTCTTCATTAAAGAACAGCTTTTCTAAATGTTGGGGGAAATGTCCGTAGTCATTACTCAATCAAAACTTGTGTTCTCATAAGCCTAAGGACCATTTTAGGTTTTTAACATGTTTTTTTTTTGTGTGTGTGTGTATCCATAAAATGCATATGTAAATTTTTCTTTGTTTTTAAGCATTCACCCAAACAAAAAATCACAGGTAAACCCATGTTTCTGAGATGCCATTATTCCGAGCAAAATAAGAAATAATCACTTCAAGTTAAATTGAAAATTTTCCTGAAGCCATACATTTCAAGGGAAATAAGTAATTCTAAATAGGACAATTTAAATTGGATAATTTTAAAGTATCTATAATTGCAGTGGTTTATTTGCAAATTTCCTAAAAGGAAAGATTTTATCACTGCCATCACAGCAGGTTTCCTCATCCAGATGAGGAAACTAGACAAATGCTAGTGTGTTTTAACTAGCTAAACAAAACTAAGTTAAATGAAAATTTAAAAATTTCCCTAGTGAGCCATTCCTTAACAAAATGTTGAAATCCCTGTTGCTACATTGACTAAAAGGTAATGATGAATGGAATATGTAAGACTTGGCTCATATAAACCTAATCAGATGGTAGAGATGTTGGCAGTTGAGGACCTGCTGCCATAAATGTGTGAACAACCTTTTGTAAGCTGACCTATTGACCTGCATGTTTTTTCTTTACCCCAACTGATTCCTTACATGTAGGCTCAATCTTCAGTTATTTGCTTTACTGGTTCGACAAAAGCCAGGAAGAACAACTTTGTAGTAATCAGAGTGTTATCCAACTGTATATTGTTTACTTGATTGTAAATACTGGTGAACCAGTGGTTAATAAATAGTTTTATATTCCTTTATGCAAAAAAAAAAAAGATCTAATATACAACATGAAGACTATAGTTAGTAATAGAGTCTTTTATTAGGGATTTTTGCTAAATGAGTAGCTTATAGCTGTTCCTGCCCACAGAGAGGAAAATGTATAACTATGTAAGGATGATGGATATATATGTTCATTTGTTCCACTATAGTAACTATTTTACTGTATATGTGTATGTTATATCATGTTGTATACCTTAAATATACACAATAAAAAATAAGAAAGGTTTTTGGTTTGTTTTTTGTTTGTTTTTGAGACAGAGTCTCATTCTGTTGCCTAGGCTGGAGTGCAGTGGCGTGATCTCAGCTCACTGCAACCTCCACCTCCCGGGCACAAGCAATTCTCATGCCTCAGCCTCCCAAGTAGCTGGGATTATAGGCATGTGCCACCATGCTTGGCTAATTTTTGTATTTTTAGTATAGTTGAGGCTTCACCATGTTACCCAGTCTGGTCTTGAACTCCTGGCCTCAAGTGATCTGCCTGCCTTTGCCTCCATAAGTGCTAAGATTACAGGCATGAGCCACCACGCCCAGCCACGAAGAAAGATTTCAAATCAAGCACTTAACCTTCCACCTTAAGACACTGGAAAAAGAATAGCAATTAAAAGCACACTAAAAGAAAATAATAAAGATGGAAGCAAATGAACTAGAGAAGGGAAATGCGATAGAGAAAAACAAAACCAAAAGCTAGGTTTTGAAAAGATTTTTTAAATTGGCAAACCTTTTAGTTAAACTAAGGGAGACTCAAATTACTAAAATCAGAAATGAAAGAAGAGATATAAAGAAGATAAACAAGGCCGGGCATGGTGGCTCACGCCTGTAATCCCAGCACTTTGGGAGGCCGAGGTGGGTGGATCACGAGGTCAGGAGATCGAGACCATCCTGGCTAACATGGTGAAACCCCGTCTCTACTAAAAAATACAAAAAATTAGCTGGGCGTGGTGGCGGGCGCCTGTAGTTCCAGCTTCTTGGGAGGCTGAGCGGGAGAATGGTGTGAACCCGGGAACCAGAGCTTGCAGTGAGCCGAGATTGCACCATAGCACTCCAGTCTGGGCAACAGAGCAAGACTCTGTCTCAAAAAAAAAAAAAAAGAAGATAAACAAAAAGGCTTATAAAGGAGTACTATGAACAATTGTGTGCTAATAAATTAGGTAACTTAGATTAAATGAGCAAATTATTAGAAAGACACAAACTACTGAAACTGACTCAAAAGGAGAGAAAATATGAATAGCTCTATAACAACTAAAGACATTGAATTGTCCAACACTGCCTACAAAGAAAAGCCCAGACATCACTAGACAAAGATATCACAAGAAAAAGAAAACTACAGACCAATATCTCCTATGAATATAGATGCAAAAATCTTCAACATACGCTAGTGCAATCCAGCAACATACAAAAATAATTATACTCCAAGGGAGATTTATTCCAAGAATGGAAAGTTGACTTAATATTTGAAAATCAATTAATACACTGTATCAATATAATTTTTTTTTTAAGTTTCACAATTGGCTGGGTGCGATGGCTCATACCTGTAATCCCAGCACTTCGGGAGGCCGAGGCGGGCAGATCACAAGGTTTGGGAGTTCTAGACCAGCCTGGACGACATGGTGAAACCCCGTCTCTACTAAAAATACAAAAATTAGGCATGGTGGCATATGCCTGTAATCCCTGCTATTCGGGGGGCTGAGGCAGGAGAATTGGCTTGAACTTGGGAAGCGGAGGTTGCAGTGAGCCAAGATCATACCACTACACTCCAGTCTGGGTGACAGAGCAAGACTCTGTCTCAAAAAAAAAAAAAAAAAAAAAAAAAAGGTTTCACAATCATCTCAATAGATGCATAAAAAGCAATCGACAAGCCCAATATTTTTTCATGATTAAAAAAACAGCAACATAGAAGGGAACTTCCTTAACTTGATAAAGGACATCTACAAAACACCCACAGTTAACGTTACACGTAATGGTGAAGAAATGGATACTTTCCCACTAAGATCACGAACAAGACAATCCCATTCTCAACATTTCTATTCAATATTGTACTGGAGGATCTAGCCAGAGCAGTCGGGCCAAAAAAATGACATAAAATGCATCTAAACTGGAAAAGAAGTAAAACTGTATCTATTCAGAGATGACCTGATCCTGTATGCAGGAAATTCTATGAAATCACTAAAAAAAAAATAGAACAGATAATTGAGTTCAGCAGCACTTCAGGATATAGGATAAATATGACAAAATCAACTTATTTCTATACAGTAGCAATGAAAAATCTAAAATTGAAATTAAAACAACTTATAACATCAAAAAATTAAGAGCTTAAGGATAAATTTAACAAATAGAAAACATTCTGAAAACATATTCAAATAAAATATTGTTGAAAGAAATTAAAGGCCTAAATAAATGGAAAGACATCCTATGTTCATGGATCATAAGACTTAATATTGTTAAGATGGGAATATTCCTCAACTTAATCTACAGATTCACCACAGTCTCTAGGAGAGAGACTTGTAAGAGACTCTCTTCCTTGTAGAAATTAACAAGCTGATTCTAAAATTTATGTGAAAACTCAAGGGACTCAAAACAGCCAAAACAATTTTGGAAAACAACAAAGAAGATTTACACTTTCCCATTTCCAATCTTACTACAAAGCTACAATAATCAAGACAGTGCAGTACTGGCATAAGGATAGACATACAGATCAATGGAACAGAATTGGGAGTCCAGAAATAAACCCACATTTCCATGGTCAACTGATTTTCATCAAGGGTGAAAAAGAATAGTCTTTTCTACAAATGGCACTAGGATAGCTAGACAGGCTAATGCAAAATAATGAAGTTGGATCCTTACATCACACCATATGTAAAAATTGACCCAAAATGGATCAAAGACCTAAATGTAAGAGTCAAAACTGTAAAACTCTTATAAGAAAGCATAGGGGTAAATCTTTGTGACCTTGGATTTGGCAATGGATTCTTAGACACTAAAATCACAAGCAACAAGCAAAAAAATAAATTAGACACCAAAATTAAAAACTTTTGTGCTTCAAGGAACATCAAGAAAGTGAAAAGATAGCTTACAGAATATGAGAAAATGTTTACAAAGTATGTATCTGGTAAGGGAACGTGTATCCAGAATATATAAATAATGCCTACAACTCAACATTTAAAAGAAAAATAACCCAATTTTTTAAATGGTGAAAGACTTGAATAGACATTTTTCCAAAGAAGATATACAAACGGTCAATAAGCCCATGAAAAGTTGCTCAACATCATTGGCCATCAGGGAAATGCAAATCAAAACCACAGTGAAATATCACTTTAACACTCAGTAGAATGGCTATAAGCAAAAAGCTGCATAACAACAAATGTTGCCAAGGATGTGGAGAAACTGGAACCCTCTACACTGCTGATGGGAATGTAAAATAATGCAGCCACTTTGGAAAGCCACCTGTCAGTTCTTCAAAAAGTTAAACATACAGAGTTACCATGTGACCCAGATATATACGCAAAATAATTGAAAACAGGTACTCAAACCAATACTTGTACACAAATGCTCATAGCAACACTATTCACAATAGCCAAAATGTGGGAAAAAAACCAAATATCTATTGATTGATAAACGGAGAAAGAAAATGTCGTATACCTATACAATGGAATATTAATCAGTCACAAAAAGCATGAACCTTGTAAATGTTTTGCTGTGCGAAAGAAGCCAGACACAAAAGATCACACGCTGCATGACTATTTGTATACAATATCCAGAATGGGTAAATCCATAGCAACAGAAAGCAAATTATAAATTGTTAGGGACTGGCCAGGCACAGTGACTCACGCCTGTAATCCCAGCACTTTGGGAGGCCAAGGCGGGTGGATCACTTGAGGTCGGGAGCTCGAGACCAACCTGGTCAACATGGTGTAACCCTGTCTCTACTAAAAGTACAAAAATTAGCTGGGCATGATAGTGCATTCCTGTAATCCCAGCTACTTGGGAGGCTGAGGCACGAGAATTGCTTGAACCTGGGAGGTGGAGGTTGCAGTGGGCTGAGAACATGTTACTGCACTGCGCTCCAGTCTGGGCAACACAGTGAG